TTTTTGGCTACATTGATCTTAATTGCAATAAAAACTGACCTAAACTTTTGTAAGAGATCATAGTTCTGTGTCATATATCCTTTAATATAATTATTTAAAGTTTAATTGCTGAAAAACTTATAATAAAAACTGGGCTGCGTAATCTTGACTTCATGAGTTTTTTTCACACTGGTATAATGCACATTTGTTGTCTTTTGGTCTCCCATGATCATTCATGCTTCTTTTGAGGGTCTCAGTGGGGATAGTGGTCAAGGTTTTTGCTTTCCCTTAGCCTAGTGGTGGGCATGTGACCAAAAGCAGGTCAACTGGGAGAAAGCATAGCGTGATGGGTAAGGGCTCAGCCTCTGGGTTCTAATCTGGCTCTGCCAGTTACTATGTGATCCTGAGCAGGTTACTTAATTTCTCTGCACCTCATTTTTTTAATCTGTAAAACTGGAATAGCACTAGGTTTGCTATGAAGCTTAGATAATTAGCATTTGTGAAAAGCTTAGAGCAGTGCCTGGCACAGAGCAGCATTAAGTATTAGCTGCCTATAATCCCAGCACTTTCGGAGGCCAAGGCTAGTGGATCGCTTCAGGTTAGGGATTTGACACCAGCCTTCAACATGGTGAAACACCGTTTCTACTAAAAAAAGAAAAAGAAAAAAAAATTAGCCAGGCTGTGGTGGTGCAGGCCTGTAATCCCTGCTACTCAGGAGGCTGAGGCAGGAGACTTGCTTGAACCCAGGGGGTGGAGGTTGCAGTGAGCCCAGTTCGCACCATTGCACTCCAGTCTGGGTAACAGAGTGAGACTTCATCTCAAAAAAAAAAAAGGACAGTGTTAGTTAAGGGAGTGAATTGTAGAAGCAATCTGGGGCAGTGGCTTACACTTATAATCCCAGCAGTTTGGGAGGCTAAGGTGGGAGGATCACTTGAGCCCAGGAGTTCCAGACCAGACTGGGTAATATAGTACGACCTCCTCTCTACAACAATAACAAAAAAAAAAACACACACCTTAGAAAATTAGGCTGGGCATGGTGGCTCGCATCTGTAACTCTAGTACTTTGTACTTTGGGAGGCCACGGCAGGTGGACTAGAGGTCAGGATTTTCAGGCCACCCTGGCCAACATGGTGAAACCCTGCCTCTACTAAAAATACAAACATTAGGCTGGGCTCGGTGGCTTACACCTGTAATCCCAGCACTTTGGGAGGCCAAGGTGGGCGGATCACCTGAGGTCAGGAGTTTGAGACCAGCCTGACCAACATGGAGAAGCCCCATCTTAAAAAAAACAATGCAAACATTAACCGGGTGGGGTGGTGGGTGCCTGTAATCCCAGCTACTTGGGAGGCTGACGTGGGAGGATTCCAGGCTAGTCTGGAATTCCCAGCCTCAAATGATCCTCCTGCCTCGGCCTCCTAAAGTGCTGGGATTATAGGCATGACCCACCATGCCTAGCTGCCAAATCTTCTTAGAATGAGGCCTAGTGAGTGAGGACTAAACTCTGACCTTTTTTCTTTCTGGCCCAAATTCCTAACTAGTGAATTTAAGGAGATACATCCTATAAACCATAAAAATCTCATCAGATGGATTTTGTTTAACCCGATATGACCCAGCTTACTTTCCAACCTGACTCTGACATAATATCACATGACAGATAAAGAAGGAAATAATGTTTTTTTCTGAAAATATGTTTCCTTGGTATATTTTGAAATGCGCCCGCAAAGTCATCGCTTATGGGGGGAAATCTACATCTGTAAAGAAGCTGACCGGGTGCGGTGGCTCACACTTGTAATCCCAGCACTTTGGGAGGCTGAGGCAGAAAGATCACCTGAGGTCCAGAATTCCAGACCATCCTGGTCAACACGGTGAAACCTGTTGACCTGAAACCCTGTCTCTACCAAAAATACAAAAATTAGGTGGGCATGGTGGCGCATGCCTGTAATCCCAGCTACTTGGAAGGCCGAGGCAGGAGAATTACTTGAACCCAGGAGACGGAGGTTGCACTGAGCCAGATTGGGCCACTCCACTCCTGACTGGGTGATAGAGTGAGACTCTGTCTCAGAAATAAACAAATAAAAGAATCTCTATTGAAATAAATAGATGTTTCCTCTGGCAGGCCCTCCCAATCCTAAGGAGATTAACTGAGAATCCAGTACTCGCTGTGTCACCCAGTCTGGAGTACACCCAGGCTTGCGATCTCAGCTCCCTGCAACCTCTGCATCCTGGGTTCAAGCGCTTCTCCTGCCTCAGCCTCCCTCTGGAGTACCTGGGATTACAAGTGTCTGCCACCATGCCCGGCTAATTTTTGTCTTTTTAGTAGAGATGGGGTTTTACAACGTTGGCCAGGCTGATCTCGAACTCCTGACCTCAGGTGATCTGCCTGCCTTGGCCTCTCAAAATGCTGGGATTACAGGTATGAGCCACTGTGCCCAGCCTTAATTTTTTTTTTTTTTTTTTTTTTGAGACAGGGTCTTGCTCTGTTGCCCAGGCTGGCATGCAGTGGCATAATCTGGGCTCGTCACAACCTCTGCCTTCTGGGCTGAAGCAATCTGCTGGCCTCAGCCTCCCAAAGTGTTGGAATTACAGGTGTGAGCCAGATTCCAGTACTTATGGGTGGCCACCTATGAGACTTTATCCTTTTTTTTTTTTTGATGAGACGGAGTTTTGCTATTGTTGCCCAGGCTGGAGTGCAATGGCATGATCTCAGCTAACCGTAACCTCTGTCTCCCGGGTTCAAGCAATTCTCCTGCCTTAGCCCCTCAAGTAGCTGGGATTACAGGCATGTGTCATCACACCCAGCTAATTTTGTATTTTTAGTAGAGACAGGGTTTCTCCTTGTTGGTCAGGCCGGTCTCGAACTGCCGACCTCAAGTGATCTGCCTGCCTTGACCTCCCAAAGGGTTGGGATTACAGGTGTGAGCCACCGTGCCTGCCCCAATCAGAAAAACTTTGAGTCCACCTGTGACCTGAACCCTCCACTTTGAGTTGCCTCACCTTTCTGTACAGAACCAATATATACCTCATGTGTATTGATTCATGTCTTATGTCTCCCTAAAACTGTATAAAACCAAGCTATAGCCCCACCATCTTGGGCACATATTCTCAGGAACTCTTGAGACTGTGCCTCAGGCCATGGTCACTTATACTTGGCTCAGAATAAACCTCTTTAAATATTTTGTTAGAGGAACCCCTGCTTACCAGGCCTCTGGTTTAATAAAACATGACTAGAGTGACTCTATCTTAAAGTAGTTAGGCACTTACAAGGCTCCTGTAAAATTAATGCTTATGGTCTAAAAATAGCCACATTCTAAACTGACCACCAATTATAATTACAGAATATGTATGGCCATCCAGGATATCTCCCATCAAGCCTGCAGAATGTCCAGATATTCTAAGGAGCAGCCCACTTTACTTAAAGATGATGTGAAAGAGCAAGCTTCGGTTGAGAGATTCATGGTGTTTGAAAGCACAATAGCCCTACCTTTAGTGAGCATATCTGCACAGTGCAAGTTTAATTACAGCCCCTTATAGTTTCTTGTAAGTAGAGACACTGACAAAGGACCGTGTGTTCCTTCCCCTGCTTTCTGAGGTTGCTCTGCTCTTCAACGGAGTAGTTTCCAATAAACTCGCTTCCTTCATTGTGCTCTGTGACTCACCTCAAATTATTTCCTGCACAAGATACAAGAAACTTCTCTTTGGATCTGGATCAGGACTCTCTTTTTTCAGACAACAATTTTACAGAGTTTGACTCTTTTTGTGGACAAGAGTCAGAGAATTTTTTGTGTGTTGTTCTTTTGCTTTGAGAAGGGTCTTGTTCTGTCACCTAGACTGAACCTTCCAGGGTCAAGTGATTTTCCCACCTCAGCCTCCTGAGTAGCTGGTCTACAGGCATGTACCACCAGAAAGGAGTCAGAGATCTTACAGATGACCTCCACAATGAAGAGCTAGGGGTGATAGCATAAACTTCAAAAGGTGGTTTTAGGCTCCACACGGTGGCTCATGCCCTGGGTGGCCAAGGTGGGTAGATCGCTTGAGCCCAGGAGCTCAAGCCCAGCCTAGGCGACATGGTGGGTCAGTCTCTCTCCCCCCACCCAGCCCCCCTCCTCTATTTCTCTCTTTTTTTAAAGGTGGTTATTATACTGAGGCAGGAAGCAATAATTGCCAGAGGTAGCAGGTTGCCCAGTCCATCTCCAGGCCCTATTGTCTGTGGGGTTTGTGGTAGGCAACAGCTGTCAATTAAGAGGACTGCAGGTTGCTGAAGGCCTTGACTCACGCCTGTAATCCCAGCACTCTGGGATGCCGAAGCGGGTGGATCACCTGGGGTCAGGAGTTTGAGACCAGCCCAGCCAACATGGTGAAACCCCGTTTCTATTAGAAATACAAAAAATTAGCCAGGCGTGGTGGCAGGCGCCTGTAATTCCAGCTACTAGGGAGGCTGAGGCATAAGAATCGCTTGAATCAGGGAAGCAGAGGTTGTAGTGAGCCCAGATCGCACCACTGCACTCCAACCTGGACAACAGAGCAAAACTCCGTCTAAAAAAAAAAAAAAAAAAAAAGACTGCAGGGGGAGTAGAGAGCCAGATCTCATTTAGAGCAGGAAAAGGAACATCCAGCATTTGAGGGCACAGATTTTGCTAATGACAGAAATGAGGCTCAGAGATTACGTGACTTGATCAGAGTCACAGAGACCATAGTTGAGGATGAAACCAGTGCTTTTTCTCTACACCGAGGCTCAGTGCTCCATTTATGGTTTTTATGTGACGTAACAACTAGGATGATCCCCACACACCAAGAATCAAAACCCCGAAGGCCCGAGGGTCTGGACACTACAGCGGTTACGCAAGCGCAGAACAATTCGCTGGCCGCGCAATCCCCTGTGGGTCGTGTAGTTTCTCGGCTGGGCATGACCGGAAAAGAGGAGAGAAGAGCGCATTGCATGGCGGGAGATATAGTCCTCCCGGGAAGTCCCTCCTTCCTCGGAAGCCTGGCGGCGCCGGCGCACACTGCTCTTCCATAAGGGCGGGAGTCTCGGTTTGTGGCGGTTTCGATGAGGCGGTTGTGGCCGCAATACCGTTAGCAGCTCAATTTCCCCGAGGCTCTAAGGCCCTTTGAGGCGAAATGGCTCCGGGCGAGGAAGGAGCAGGCGGTGGCAATGGAAGGGCCGCCGCGGCCACAGGCTGACCGTAGGGAGGGATCCTGAGGGCCCTCCAGGAATCCCGCTTTCTTTCTTTGCCGCCACCGAGCCTACCGCGATAATGAGCTCGGCCTCGGTCACCGCTTTCGAGAAGGAGCATCTCTGGATGTATCTGCAGGCGCTCGGCTTCGAACCAGGCCCGGCGACCATTGCTTGCGGAAAGATCGTGTCGCACACGCACCTCGGAGTGTAAGGAGACCGAGGCCGGCGGGGCGAGGGAGGCTGAGCCGGAGGACGCCGGGGGACTCGCCCTTTTGTAGACCCCGGAGGTTGATTAATCACAGTTGGTTGAGCGGTTGCTTTGTGCCAGGAACTGGCTGCAAAGTTCCTACTCCCAGTTGCCGCCAGCCTTGGGGCAGAGACAGACAGTAAATAATGGAAGAGTGCCGGAAGCGCTCTGCTGGGGAGTGCGAAAGTCAGCAGATGGGCTGAGTGCAAAACTGGAGGGGCAGCTGAACTCGGCCTCGGTGGTGGAGGGACGGTCTGTGGAGTAGTCGGAGGGATGGCGCGTGGTAGTGGAAGAACATGGAAACCATAGTACAAACACGTCTAACTTTATAGTTTTTACTTTTTGAATTAGGAAAGTAAGGCGTGCTAGACTTAGCATAAAACAATAGAGAAGGGTATTAAAAACTAATACCCTTTTAATGAAAAGTATGGAAAGTAAAAGTCCCTTTACTGCTTTTTCCACTTCTGTTAAGGTTATGGATTTCTCCCAATAACCCCCTGAAAAGGACTCTGTTTATATTTCTGTGTTTTATGACCTTTAGCCAGTATCTCTATTTAGTCATTCTTACTGTAGGCCAGGAGGAATTTGGGATATATACATTGGCTATCTTCTGTTCTCCTCAATCTGTTTAACTTTTGTAAATGATAGAATTTCAGTTCTTCTAGTAGCTGTTTGTTTGTTTTTGTTTTTGGATACGGAATCTGACTCTGTTGCCCAGGCTGGAGGGCAGTGGCCTGATCTCAGCTCACTGCAACCTCCACCTCCTGAGTTTAAGCAATTCTCCTGCCTCAGCCTCCCGAGTAGCTGGGATTACAGGCCCCCACACTGCGCCCAGCTACCCCTGTGTCTTTAGAGTCCTTTTCAGTGTGTTACTGGAAGGGATGCACCATCAATTTGTTTTTTCTTTCTTTTTTCCTTAAAAAATATGTTATCATTTTAGAGATAATAGCTAACCATGCTGCCCAGACTGGTCTCAAAATTCCTGGGCTCAGGCAGTCCTTCTGCTTCGGTCTTCTAAAGTGCTGGGATGACAGATGTGAGGCACTGTACCCGGCATTTTTTTTTTTTTTTTTAAGAGAGGTTTTCTCTCGGTCACCCAGGCTGGAGTACAGTTGTGTGATCACAGCTCACTGCATCCTCCACCTCCTGGGCTCAGGTGGTTCTCCCACTTCAGCCTACTGAGTAGCTGGGACTGCAGGCCATGGCACCATGCCTAGGGTCGGTGTGTTGTCCAGGCTGGTCTTGAGCTCCTGGCCTCAAGTGATCCCCCTGCCTTGGCCACTCCCAAGTGCTGGAATTACTGATGCGAGCCACTGAGCCTGGCCTGTTTTCTTTTATTGATGTATCGTAGCTGTACCTATTTTTGGGATATAAAATTTTTGATATTTTGATACACTTAAACAATGTGTAAGAATCAGAGGCTGGGCATGGTGGCTCATATCTATAATCCCAGCACTTTGGGAGGCCAGGGTGGGCAGATAACCGAAGGTCTGGAGTTTGAGACCAGCCTGACCAACATGAGGAAACCGCATCTTTATTAAAAATACAAAATTAGCCCAGTGTGGTGATGCATGCTTATAATCCCAGCTGCTTGGGAGGCTGAGGCAGGAGAATCCTTGAACCTGGGAGGCGGCAGTTGGGGTGAGCTGGTATGGTGCCATTGCACTCTAGCTTGGGCAACAAGAGCGAAACTCTCTCAAAAAAAAAAAAAGAATAAGATCAGGGTAACTGGGATAGCCATTCCCTCAGACATTTATCTTTCCTTTGTGTTGGAAACATTACAGTTCTCTTCTAGCTATTTTAAAATATACAATAAATTATTGTTAACTATTACTTCATTTCAGCACTACTGAACACTAGAAGTAATTCCTTCTCACTGTATTTTTGTACCTATTAATCAACTTCTGTTCATCCCTCCCCCTCTCTCTTTCTTTCCTAAACTGTGTTAACCACCATTCTACTCTCTACCTCCATGAGGTCCACTTTTTTTGCTTTCACGTGTAAGAATACGTAATATTTGTCTCTCCATGCCTGACTTATTTCACTTAAGATAATGACCTCCAGTTCCATCCATGTTGATGCAGATGACAGGATTTTCTTCTTTTTGTGTGGCTGAATAATGTTCCATTGTGTATATATACTACAGTTTCTTTATCCATTCATCTGTTTTATTTTTCCTTTTTTTTTTTGAGACGGAGTCTTGCTGTGTCGCCTAGGCTGGAGTGAAGTGTCGCGATTTCAGCTCCCTACAACCTCCGCCTCCTGGGTTCAAGCAGTTCTCCTGAGTAGCTGGAATTACAGGTGCCCGCCACCACGGCTGGCTAATTTTTGTATGTATTATTATTTTTTTTTTTTAGAGACAGGGGTCTTGCTATGTTGCCCAGGCTGGAGTGCAGTGGCTATTCACAGGTGCGATCCCAGTACTGATCAGCATGGGAGTTTTGACTTGCTGTTTCCGACCTGGGCTGGTTCACCGCTCCTTAGGTAACCTGGTGATCCCCCTCTCCGGGAGGTAACCATATTAACGCTGAACTTAATGCGGACACCAGTCAGCATAGTGCACTACCGCCTAGAACTCCTAGGCTCAAGCAATCCTCCTACCTCAGCCTCCTGAGCAGCTGGGACTACAGGCATACACCACCACACCAGGCTACGTTTTGTATTTTTAGTAGAGATGGGTTTTCACCATGTTGGTCAGGCTGGTCTTGAACTCTTGAGCTCGTGCTCTTCCTACCTCAGCCTCCCAAAGTGCTGGGATTACAGGCATGAGCCACTGTACCCTGCCTAAGGTACTTTTAAAATTGCTCAATGCACCTGTAAATCCAGCTACTCAGAAAGCTGAGGTGGGAAATTGCTGTTGGCCAGAAGTTTGAGACCAGCTTGGGCAACTTAGTGAGACTCTGTCTCTTAAAAAAATAATTAGGCTGGGCATGGTGGTTCACACCTGTTATCCCAGTGCTTTGGGAGGACAAGGTGGGAGGATTGCTTGAGCCCAGGAGTTTGAGGCTACAGTGAGCTATGATTGTACCACTGCATTCCACCTTGGATAACAGGGCGAGATCCTGTCTCTTAAAAATAAAAAAAAAAAAACTTGGGAAGCAGCCTAACCCTGTATATGGGTGCCCTGAGTCCCAGTGGCCATGAGGGAGTGAGAAAAGAAATAGGACAAAGACAAGAGTAGAATTTGACAGCATGGGTCCAGGGGGCCAACACATTCTCTTGTAGGGTGAATGGTGAGGGCACTGAGCTTTGGGCTCCACATGTGGCAGGAGAATTGCTTGAACCTAGGAGGCGGAGGTTGTGGTGAGCCGAGATGGAGCCATTACACACCAGCCTGGGAAAAAACAGCAAAACTTCGTCTCAAAAAAAAAAAAAAGAAAGAAAGAAAGGGTCTTGGGTTTACAGTTTTAGAAATCACATATGAAAGGGTCCTGGGTGGGCGCAGTGGCTCACGCCTATAATCCCAGCACTTTGGGAGGCCGAGGCGGGTGGATCACGAGGTTAAGAGATCAAGACCAAAATGAAACACCACATATTCTCACTCATAGGTGGGTGATGAAAAATGAGAACACATGGACACAGAAAGGGGAGTACTAAACACTGGGGTCTATTGGGGGGAAAAGGGGAGGGCCAGTGGGAGGGGGAGGTGGGGAGGGATAGCCTGGGGAGAAATGCCAAATGTGGGTGAAGGGGAGAAGAAAAGCAAAGCACACTGCCATGTGTGTACCTACGCAACTGTCTCGCATGCTCTGCTCATGTACCCCAAAACCTATAATCAAATAAAAAATTAAAAAAAAAAAAAAAAAAAAAAGAGATCAAGACCATCCTAGGCAGCAAGGTGAAACCCCGTCTCTACTAAAAATACAAAAATTAGCTGGGCGTGATGGTGCACGCCTGTAGTCCCAGCTACTCGGGAGGCTGAGGCAGGAGAGTTGCTGGAACCTAGGAGGTGGAGGTTGCGGTGAGCCGAGATCTTGGCATTGCACTCCACTCTGCAGTCTGGGAAACAACAGCAAAACTCTTGTCTCAAAAAAAAAAAAAAAAGGGGGGGTCCTGGGTTTAAATTACATGTGAAAGGGTTGTGGTCTCCAGATGGAAGAGTGGGCTAGGGGTTTGATCTTGTTCAAGTAAAAACAGTGTCTTCTGGAGCGATTTCCCCATACCACGCCTGCTATATTACAGGAAGGTGAGTCAAGAGGCACCGACAGTTGGCCAGCCTTTTCTTTTATTGAAGTGCAGTGTGGAGGTCAAGGGAGAGGTGATCCCAGATGCCTGGGTCTCCTTCCTCAAACTCAGGTGGCAGTAGGAATAAAAAGAGGTGATTCATTTATTTGTTCATTCAACAAATATTTATTGAACACAGTATTGGACCTGGGTATAGAATGGTGAACAGAATAGATACAAATTTTTCCTTATAGAATTTAAGTCTAGTGAAGGAAGAAATCTTCAACGAAGATCTTATTACAGATTACAATAAGTGTCAAAGAGAAGATAAAGTACTTTGAAAAAACAACAGGTTTGAGAGATGGTAAGGAAGTGGGTTAGATGGAACTTCATTTGTGTTACTTGGGGAATAGAGACATTCTAAGGACAAAAGAATTGACAAATGGATAGGCATAGGAACTTATGCAAGAGAATAGTAATCACTCCTGAGTCAGAAATTCACTTGATTTGATTTTTTGAAGTAAATTTGATGCTTTGCCGTTTAAGTTAACTCTTGATTCCTTAAAGTTGTGTGACATTTCTTTTTTATTTTTTTTCTTTGAGATGGAGTTTTGCTGTTGTTACCCAGACTGGAGTACAATGGCACGATCTCGGCTCGCCGCAGCCTTCACCTTCTGAGTTCAAGCAATTCTCCTGCCTCAGCCTCCCAAGTAGCTGGGACTACAGGCGTGCACTACCATGCCCAGCTGATTTTTGTATTTTTAGTAGAGACGGTGTTTCACCTTGTTGCCTAGGATGGTCTCGATCTCTTAACCTCGTGATCCACCTGCCTCGGCCTCCCAAAGTGCTGGGATTATAGGCGTGAGCCACCACGCCTGGCAGTGGTGTGACATTTCTTAAAGGCTTTAGTGTTACTCTGTTTCTGTTTTCACATTTTATTCCTTTTAGGCTTTGTTTTGATTAATTAGGGTAATTGGAATAATGAAAACTAATGCCAGCATTGTATTATAAAGATGGTTCTGGGAGTAAAAATCTAGTAGTGAAGACCCTGAGCTCTAGGGTGAGGGGACGTATTTCAAATTAGTACTTTTCTACTTTCTAGTTAAGCGATTTTGGGCAAATTTCTAACCTCTAAATTTAGGGTTCCTCATCTGTATTATGAAGATAATCAAACCACTATCTATCTAGTGTCATTAGGATTAAGTAAAATAATTTGTGTTAAGGTAGGTGGTATGTGATAGAAGTGAAGGTTGGCTAAGTTACTGCCTATAGAAGGCTTAAAGAATGCTTGGCAAATAGGAAACTTTTTCTTTTTTTTTTGAGACAGAGTTTCGCTGTTGTTACCCAGACTGGAGTGCAGTGGCACGGTCTCGGCTCACCGCAACCTCCACCTTCCGGGTTCAAGCAGTTCTCCTGCCTCAGCCTCCTAAGTAGCTGGGATTACAGGTGCACACCACCATGCCCAGCTACTTTTTGTATTTTGAGTAGAGATGGGGTTTCACCTTGTTGACCAGGATGGTCTCAATCTCTTGACCTCGTGATCCACCTGCCTCGGCCTACCAAAGTGCTGGGATTATAGGCGTTAGCCACCACTCTCGGCCTAGGAAACTCTTTTTTTTTTTTTTTTGAGATGGAGTTTCGCGGTTACTCAGACTGGAGTACAATGGTACAATCTCGGCTCGCTGCAACCTCCACCTTCCCAGTTCAAGCAATTCTCCTGCCTCAGCCTCCCAAGTAGCTGGGACTACAGGCGTGCACCACCATGCCCAGCTAATTTTTGTATTGTTAATAGAGACGGGGTTTCACCTTGTTGACCAGGATGGTCTTGATCTCTTGCCCTCATGATCCACCCACCTCTGCCTCCCAAAGTGCTGGGATTATAGGCGTGAGCCACCGCACCCGGCTGGAAACTCTTAATAAATATTAATTATTTACTGCTATTCTATCTCGAATTAGATTTTCCTTCCTTTTCTGTAGAGTGTTTTTATTAAAGCAAGTTCTGCCGGTCTTCTATTGAATTTTTATTTTCGGAATTAGGAAACAAAAGCTTGTATGTTTTTAATTGGTTATAACATCTACATGAATATGAAAAATTAATTTGCCTTGTCTTCCTGGAATTAAGACATTAATTTGTGTCAAACTCCTTTTGATGATGTTTAGTTTATTAACTATTTTCTTTTTCATTTTCTACTTCTATTTCATTTTTAACCCCTAGGAACATGTTTGACAAGCTGAACCGTGATGCCTTTCATATAGTTTCTTATTTTTTGTTTGAAATACTGGACCAGTCTCTCACCAAAGAAGTTTTCAAGTAAGGAAAAATAATTTTATTTTCTTAAGTTTCTTTCCAAATTTGAAAATGGACTGTGTTTTAATATAAGGCAGAATTTCAGCTTGGCCTTTGCCCATTGTTTTGAATGAATAGTACAAAATTCAGATTTGAGTCTTAACACATTTAATACTTAATCTTTATAGATCCGAGTGATTTTTTTTCTTTGGTACCTATTTTAAAATCATTGTTTATTTTATAAGTAACATAGTTTTAATTTTATATAGTTCTTAACATTCTTCATGGTCTTAATAATTAAGCAAATTATTCTTGCAAAACAATTAACTGTTATCAATCTGTATGAACTTGATTTTGCCTTTTTTTTTGTTCAGTACTCTACACCTTATTACTTTGCCTATAGGCAGTGCTGTTTTGTCTATACGGGTCTCTGTAAATCCTTATTCTTTTTTCAGTGACGTATATATTAAATCATCAATTGCTGTAGGCAAAAATCATTCTCGTTACATTTACCCTATTGTTATATGCTGTTGAATGTTGAATATTAAATAGTTCAAGAAGGAGATAAACATGTAAAAACCCACTAGTCTCAGTTCTCAGTTATTTTGCATGCATGTGATTTGTGTTTCTTCTATCTAAAAAAGTGTTCAAATTTATTTTGATATTTATATTGTGCCATCAAGCTTTTATATTGAGAGTCAACAAGTAGATCTATTACTTAGGGCATTATTTTTTTTTTTTGATAATCTGTTTTGAATATTTTGCTTTTATTTGAAGTTCTGAGTATGCAGGAGAATAGGTGGATCCTTTTTTGGAATTACCTATTATTAAGGTACAGAACTTCTTCTGTCCAAATAAAAATAGATTTTTAGTTTCTTTCCTGATTATCAACATTATGGCTCATTTTAAGTAATTCAGAAAGTATAGAAAAATGTAAAAATTGGCCAGGCGCGGTGGCTCACACCTGTAATCCTAGCACTTTGGGAGGCCGAGGCAGGTGGAACACTTGAGGTTAGGAGTTCAACACAAGCCTGGCCAACATGGTGAAACCCTGTCTTTAAAAAAAAAAAAAGAAAAATATGAAAGTTGTTTTTTTTGAGATGGAGTTTCGCTCTTGTTACCCAGGCTGGAGTGCAATGGCGCGATCTTGGCTCACCGCAACCTCCGCCTCCTGAGTTCAAGCAATTCTCCTGCCTCAGCCTCCCGAGTAGCTGGGACTACAGGCGTGCGCCACCATGCCCAGCTAATTTTTCTATTTTTAGTAGAGACGGGGTTTCACCATGTTGACCAGGATGGTCTATATCTTGACCTCATGATCTACCCGCCTTGGCCTCCCAAAGTGCTGGGATTATAGGTGTGAGCCACCGCGCCCGGCCAAAAGTTCTTTCTAAACCCATCAACCAGAGTGTATCACTATTGACATTCTAGCTTTTTAGTCTTTTTGTTCCCTATGTATGCTCAATTTTTTTCTGGGAATACTGAATATAATTATAGAAAAAGTATGAGGCCTTCAATAATTATTTTTCAGAATAAAAATTTTGAAAAAACTGTGAAAGAAAAGCAAAAGGTAAATTTTAAACCCTAATATTTTTGAACCAAAATTGAAGCAAAACTTCTCATTTTCGTGTTTTTCTGTCTTGTTGTTTAGCTACAAAAAAGTAGCACCCACAGTATGATGATAAAGATTATCTCTAGGAGTCGTAATCTTTCATGCCAATTCTTTTCTTCTCTTCAAATGTATCTGTTTATGTTTCTCTCTGGCAAATTACTGTTTCTTTCCAGGCTTAATTTACTAATTTTTTAATATTATCTTTATGCACTAGTCCAGGGGATCCATTGAGATTGTTGTGTTTAGCTAATTTTCAGCAATTTTAATAGCTGTTCATTCTTTCATTTAATCCATTTTAGTGATTTGTATGAACCCAACTCAGTCCTATAGATATTTATAAATAGAAAAAGTTCAGCCAGGTGTGGTGGCTCACGTCTGTAATCCCAGCACTTTGGGAGGCTGGGGTAGCTAGAATACTTGAGGTCAGGAGTTTGAGATCCAGCAGGCCAACAGGGTGAAACCCCATCTCTACTAAAAATACAAAAAATTAGTTAGGCCTGATGGTGGGCACCTGTAATCCCAGCTACTCGGGAGGCTGAGGCAGGATAATCACTTGAACCTGAGAGGCAGAAGTTTCAGTGAGCAGATGCACTCCAGCCTGGGAGACAGTGGGAGACTCCATCTCAAAAAAAAAATAATAGTTTCTTACAGGTTGGTGTCTCTCTATCTGTTATCTAAGAATGTTAGCTTTAATTCTTTTCGCTTTAATTTTTTTTCTTTTAAGACAAGGTCTCAGTCTGTTAACAGGGTTAGAGTGCAGTGGTGTCATCTTGGCTCACTGCAGCCTCCACCTGCTGGGTTCAGGCAATACTCATGCCTTAGCCTCCCAAGTAGCTGAGGCTAGAGGTGTGTACCACTATGCCTAGCTAATTTTTGTATTTTTAGTAGAGATGGGATTTTTCCGTGTTGGCCAGACTGGTCTCAAGTGATCTCAGGTCAGCCACTGTGCCTGGCCACATGTTAATATTTCAGGTATGGGAAATAAGTTTGAGTTTTAAAAAATTTGCTGTGGGATCAAGGCCTTGGCAGATCTGAAAACAGCACGTACGCAGCCATTCCCCAGAGTGGCTCTCCATTTTCAGCCTCAGTGCAGGATCCAGGCCTGCATATGTGGAGGGTGGAGAAGCTGAAGCCAGTGCCTGTGGGGAGAGAGAACCAGGGCGTCTTCTTCTCCTCGGGGACTTCTACCTACTGCTGTACAATGGCCCAGAAGAGGTTTCCCATCTGCACCTGTGGATAGGCCAGCAGTCATCCTGGCATGAGCGGGGGTCCTGTGCTGTGCTGGCTGTGCACCTCAACACACTGCTGGGAGAGCGGCCTGTGCAGCACCGTGAGGTGCAGGGCAGTGAGTCCAATCTCTTCATGAGCTACTTCCCACAGGGCCTCAAGTACCAGGAAGGTGGTGTGGAGTCAGCATTTCACAAGACCTCCTCAGGAGCCCCAGCTGCCGTCAAGAAACTCTACCAGGTGAAGGGGAGAAGAACATCCATGCCACTGAGTGGGCAGTGAGCTGGGACAGCTTCAACATGGGGGACTGCTTCATCCTGGACCTGGGCCAGAACATCTTTGCCTGATGTGGTGGAAAGTCCAACATCCTGGAACGCAGCAAGGCGAGAGACCTGGCCCTGGCCATCCGGGACAGTGAGCGACAGGGCAAGGCCCAGGTGGAGATTGTCACTGATGGGGAGGAGCCTTATGAGATGATCCAGGTTCTGGGCCCCAAGCCTTCTCTCAAGGAGGGCAACCCCGAGGAAGACCTCACAGCTGACCAGACAAATGCCCAGGCCATGGCTCTGTATAAGGTCTCTGATGTCACTGGACAGATGAACCTGACCAAGGTGGCTGACTCCAGTCCCTTTTTCCCCGAACTGCTGATGTCTGATGACTGCTCTGTGCTGGACAATGGGCTCTGTGGCAAGATCTATATCTGGAAGGGACGAAAAGCGAATGAGAAGGAGCGGCAGGCAAACCTGCAAGTGGCTGAGGGCTTCATCTTGCACATGTGGTATGCCCTCAACACTCAGGTGGAGATATTGCCCCAGGGCCGTGAGTGAGACTCCCATCTTCAAGCAATTTTTCAAGGACTGGAAATGAGGGTGGGCATCTCCTGCTTCATGCTCCCCTACCTCCCATGGCCTGCCTGCTTTCTTCTCTGCTGCCTGGTCAGTGCAGCGGTGCCTCCTGCAGATATTCAATAAAGGAGACAAGTGCTTTCCCAGCTCTTCTACAAAAAACAAAAACAAAAACAAAAAACAAACTTTGCTGAGATTGCCTTTTTTTTTGCTATTGTTGTGCATAATCCTAATGCTTTTATTTTTGTTTTCCAGATTTTGTTGGCCCCCATTTGACCAAAAAAGTGATACTGAATTCCGAAAACATTGCTATGAATGGATAAAAAGGATTTCTGTAAGTATTCTTTTTGTTAGAAGATACAGACTTTAAGAAGTTAAAAATGACTTTAACTCCTAACTTTTTAGAAATCTTTTTAATGCTTTAATGCTAACAGTATAAGCAAGAAAATATTAGTTAGAATAGTCTACTTTGATGGGTTTTGGTTGGGATTCTATGTATTTCGAAGAAACCAGCTTTGCTGGCCAGGTGCACTGAAAGTAGGTTTTAGAGTTCTTGAGCGTTTCGAGCACAGTTTCTGTTTAAAGCAAACTTTTTCAACCAACCATGTATTATTATAGTTTGTTTCCCCAGATAGTATCAATGATTGTGTCTGTATTATAGTTGTTTTTTCTGACCAGGTCCACTTAGAGTTTAGAAAAGGTAAAACATTTAACTTGTGGTTTAAATAGAATAATCCTGATCAAATTCATTATTATTATTATTATTATTTCTGAGATGCAGTCTCGTTCATTTGCCCAGGCTAGAGTGCAGTGGTGCAATCTCGGCTCACTGTAGCCTCCGTCTCCCAGGTTTGAGGGATTCTCCCACCTCAGACTCCCGAGTAGCTTGGATTACAGCCACATAACACCCAGATAATTTCTGTGTATTTAGTAGAGATGGGGTTTCACCATGTTGGCCAGGCTGGTCTTGAACTCCTGACCTCTAGTGATCCAACCGCTTCGGCCTCCCAAAATGCTGGGATTATAGGCATGAGCCACACCCAGCCCTGATCAAATTCTTTGATGCTTCAAAAATAGTATGATGACTGGCCGGGCGTGGTGGCTCACACCTATAATCCCAGCACTTTGGAAAGCCAAGGCGGGCAGATCACTTGAGGTCAGGAGTTTGAGATCAGCCTTACTAACATGGTGAAACCCTGTCTCTACTAAAAATACAACTTTAGCCAGGCATGGTGGTACACGCCTGTATTCCCAGCTACTGGGGAGGAAGGCAGGAGAATCATTGAACCTGGGAGGCAGAGGTTTTGGTGAGCCAAGATTGAACCATTGCACTCCAACCTTGGCAGTGAGCAAAACTGCAGCTCAAAAAAAAAAAATTATGATGAGAAGACCGTGGGCTGAGGGCGATGAGGGCCTTATCCCCTTGGATTGCTTTACATTCTGCTACAAAGTTGGATATGTCCAAAGCACTGCTATGAAGAGGCACTGGGGAGCCCCATGGCAACCTTCAGCGTAGTGCTCATGAAAATGTCGGGCTTCTACTGCAAGATTGTCACACCCTTCAAAAAAAATAGTGTGATGTAAATGTAAGAGCTACTGTTAATATCTTCAAATCGTCTTATTTCTTCATAGGGTGAATGTGGAAGTAGCTTTCCTCAAGTTGTTGGTTCACTATTTCTTTCTCCTGGTGGTCCTAAGTTTATTCATCTGATGTATCATTTTGCAAGATTTGTTGCGATGAAATATATTAAATCCAGTTCTAAAAGTAAGTTCAATTTATAAAAGTTTCTTATGTTTTGATTCTTAAATTTTTATTCTTTCGAATTTTTAAATCATGAAAACATTTTAGTAAAAGCAAAGTAAGTTACAACATTAATGTACCCCAAGAAGGAAATTGTTAATATTCCACTGGAACTGGACTTTGCAGTCTTCTCATAATGAACATAGTTACTATTCATATTATTTTATTATTATTTTTTGAGATGAGTCTCTCTCTCTCTTGCCCAGGCTGGAGTGGCACCATCTTGGCTCACTGCAACCTCTGCCTCCCAGGTTCAAGTGATTCTCCTGCCTCAGCCTCCTGAGTAGCTGCGAGTATAGGCACCTGCCACCATGCTCAGCTAATTTTTTTGTATTTTTAGTAGACACAGGGTTTCACTGTGTTAGCCAGGATGATTTCGGATCTCCTGACCTTGTGATCTGCCCACTTTGGCCTCCCAAAGTTTTGGGATTACAGACGTGAGCCACTGCACCTGGCCATTTTATCAGGTTCTAATACAAGGGTTGGGAAACATTTTCTTTAAAATTTTTTTTTTTTTTTTTTTAAATACAGAGGTCACCCATATTTCCCAGGCTGGTCTTGAACTCCTGTGATCAGGCAGTCTTCCTGCCTCGCCCTCCTAAAGTGCTGCGATTATAGGTGTCAGCCACTGTGCCCAGCAACAATTGATACTTTTATTACTAGTGTATGGATAGTATCTGTTTTCCGAAAGGCTCATTAATAGTATATAATCAGACATTTTTATTTATTTAATTTTTTTCTTTAACCCATAATTCCTGAGAATGTACCAAGTAAATGATCAGACATTTTTATCTCTTCAGTTTGATAGGTTACAGTGGAATCTCAGTATAGTTTTAATTTATATTTCTCTTATTAGTGAGGTTGAAAATTGTTTCATGTTTAGGAGCAATTTGTAATTTAAAAAAAATTTTTTTTTTTTTTTGACTGGATGTGGTGGCTCCATGACTGTAAGCCCAGCACTTTGTGAGGCCAGGGCAGACAGATCACTTGAGGTGAGGAGTTTGAGACCAGCCTGGCCAACATGATGAAATCCTGTTTCTAATAAAAAATACAAAAATTGCCTGGCGCAGTGGCTCACGCCTGTAATCCCAGCACTTTGGGAGGCTGTGGCAGGCGGATCACCTGACGTCAGGAGTTCGAGGCCATCCTGACCAATATGGTGAAACCCTGTCTTTAAACATTAAAAAAAAAAAAAATACAAAAATTACCTAGGTATGGTGGCGGGTGCCAGTAATCCCAGCTACTTGGGAGGCTGAGGCATGAGAATTGCTTGAACATGGGAGAGGGAGGTTGCAGTGAGCCAAAATTGTGCCCCTGCACTCCAGCCTGGGTGATAGAGCAGACTTAACTTCAAAAAAGAAAAAAGAAAAATTATTTATTTTTGTAGATGGGTGGATCTTTCTATTTTGCCCAGGCTGGTTTTGATTTGAACTCCTGGTCTCAAGTAATCCTTCTGTTTTGGCCTCCCAAAGTGCTGGTATTACAAATGTAATATAAGAATGTTTGCATTTTTTCTGCTAGTGGATGATCTGCCCAAATTACATGTAATGCAAACTATTTTATATAAAATATGTTCTAGATTTAAACTAATTCCAGTCAACATGTTCAGTCTCTAGATAACTTCTAAATTCAGTAAACTCATTTCCTGTTAAATATTTAGAAATTCTGGTGGTTTCTTTGAGGCAATACTATGACCTGGATAAGCAACGTTAAATACAGTGTGGAATTCCCTGATTTTCAGAATACTCGTATTTTAAAAATTTTTTATTTTTATTTTTTAAATAGAGATGGGGTTTCATCATGTTGGTCAGGCTGGTCTTGAACTCCTGACCTCAGCTGATCCACCCACCTTGGCCTCCCAAAGGGCTGGGATTATGGGCTTGAGCCACCATGCCTGGCCTCAGAATACTCAAATTTTTGTTGTATTGAGCCATGTTAAAGTAGGAGTTATTACATTTATTACAGGTAAAACCTAACTCTGAAATGTTTACGTGGGTTGTTCGTAGTTCTACTTTGGTTATTAGTAATACAGTGAAGAATTGCTTATGAAATGAACAAGGGTTTTATTTGGTTATGTTGTCCTTTCAGTCTCACTAGGAGGAAAAGTAAACTGATGGCAGCAAAGGAGATGATGTGATCTCCTCTTACTTTTTTATGTTGACTTTATTCCTTTGTTAAAAGATTGTTTGGACGCAAAGTAGCTCTTACTATAATTTGAGATATCTATAAATAAATGCAGTATTTATAGATACCTCAAATTACAGTAAGAATTTTTTTAGGTAGATGGACTCTGAAAATTTTTAAGTGTGTAAAATAACTCACCTTGGACTGGGCTTGGTGACTTACAGCTGTAATCCCAGCACTTTGGAAGGCCAAGGTGGGCAAATCATGAGGTCAAGAGATGGCTAAAATGGTGAAAACCCATCTCTACCAAAAATAGAAAAATTAGCTGGGTGTGGTGGCATGCGCCTGTAGTCCGAGCTACTCGGGAGGCTGAGGCAGGAGAATCGTTTGAACCTGGGAGGCAGAGTTTGCAGTGAGCTCAGATTGTACCACTGCACTCCAGCCTGGGCAACAGAATGAGATTCTGTTTCAAAAAAATAAATAAAATAAAATAACTCACCTTTAGAAATCTTTTATAGTTGCCTACTTTATAAAAAGGTCATTTTGGCTGGGAGTTTTGGCTCACACCTGTAATCCCAGCACTTTGAGAAGCTGAGGTGGGTGGATCACCTGAGGTCAGGAGTTCGAGACAGGTTGGCCAACATGGTGAAACGCCATCTTGACTGAAAATACACAAATTAGCTGGGCTTGGTGGCATGGCTGTAGTCCCAGCTACTCGAGAGGCTGAGGCAGGAGGATTGCTTGAATTCAGGAGGCAGAGGTTGCAGTGATGCACTGAGCCAAGATCGTGCCACTACACACTTCAGCCTGGCAACAGAGCAAGACTCCAGGCCAAAAAAGAAAAAGTCATCTTACTTTTCTTAACATTAGTTGTATCAGGCTGGGTGTGGCGACCTGTAATCCCATCACTTGGGAGGCTGAGACAGGAGGATCCCTTGAATTTAGGAGTTCAAGACTAGCTTGGGCAACACCTTGAGAATCAGTCTCTACAAAAGATAAAAAAGAACTAGATGGGCATGGTGGCATGTGCTTGTAGTCCCAGCCACTTGGGAGGCCGAGGTGAGAGGATTGCTTGAACTCAGGTTGAAGCTGCAGTGAGCTATGCTTGTGCCACTGCACTCCAGCCTGGGCAAGAGAGCAAGACCTTGTCTCAAGAAAACAACCCAGAAACCAAAACAAAACATTAGTTGTATTGTTATATGTTAGTAGTATACTGGCTTTTGGGGAGTTGTTAGTTACATGATGTTGGTTTCTTAATATTAAAGTTCAACATTTTTGGTATTTATTAGCTTGTAAGTCTGTTTTCCTTTTCTTTTTTAAAACAGTCAATCAAATTTAGTCGGAGATTGTATACCAACTTGATTGATACTAATGTTAAATTCTGATAACCTGCTACTATCAGACCAGCCTGTTTTCTATAATCTTATTTGTGTTCCATATAGATTCTTCTCATCGTTTTGCAGAGACATTTAACTTAAAACCACAGGACTTGCACAAATGCATTGCCAGATGCCATTTAGCACGTAGCAGATTTTTACAAATTTTACAAAGAGAAGATTGTGTTACCCAAAAATATCAGGAAAATGCACAGTAAGTAGTACCTTGATAGTTAGAAAATAATTTCTTTCGTTTGAACAGATGTCACCAATATAACCAGTAGAAATAATCTATGCCTATGTCAAAACCCTGGCAATCATGTTTGCATTTTAAAGTCAGATAACTTCTTTTTTTTGAGATGGACTTTTGCTTTTGCTGCGCAGGCTGGAATGCAATGTCATGATCTAGGCTCACCACTACTTCCACCTCCCAGGTTCAAGTGATTCTTTTGCCTCAACCTCCTGGGTAGCCAGGATTACAGGCGTGTGCCGCCATACTCCACTAATTTTGTATTTTTAGTAGAGATGGGGTTTCTCCACGTTGGTCAGGCTGATCTCGAACTCCTGACCTCAGGTGATCCACCCATCTTGGCCTCCCAAAGTGCTGGGATATTACAGGTGTGAGCCACGGTGTGTGGTCTCTCTCTCCTTCTTCTTCCTTTTTTTTTTTTAAGTGAGTGAGCTTATTTGTTTTTCTGTCATTTTTTTTTTTTTTTTCTATCTGGGGTCTGGCTCTGTCCCCCAGGCTCCCAGGCTGGAATGCAGTGGCATGATGTTGGCTCACCGCAACCTCTGCTTCCTAGGCTTAAGTCATCCTCCCACCTCAGCCTTCAGAGTAGCTGAGATTACAGGCACAGGCCACCATGCCCAGCCAATTCTGTATTTTTAATAGAGATGAGGTTTCACCATGTTGTCCAAGCTGACCTCAAACTTCTGAGCTCAAGCTGTCTACCTGTCTCAGCTTCCCAAAGTGCTGGGATCACAGCCATGGGCCACTGTGCCTGGACATAGTCAGATAACTTTGGCATAAAATATTTTAAAACTTGACGCATATTATAAATACAAGTTTAGAGAAAAGGAAAAGATCACTTTGGTTTATTTATTTGTTTTGAGAGAGTCTTGCTCTGTTGCAGTGGTGCGATCTTGGCTCACTGCAACCTCCACATTGTGGGTTCAAAGGATTCTCATGCCTCAGCCTCCCGAGTAGCTGGGTTTATAGGTACCTGCTACCATGCCCGGCTATGTTTTTTTCTCTTTATAGTAGCAGTAGGGTTTTGCCATGTTGGCCATGCTGGTCTCGAACGCCTGACCTCAAGCGATCCACCTGCCTTGGCTTCCCAAAGTGCTGGGATTACAGGCATGAACCATTTGTGCCCGCTCACTTTAGTTTAAAAGGTTAATTTTTCATATGTGCTTTGTAAAATAGGGAAATATATTTTAAAGTTGTAATTGTAGAGTTTATTTTATTTTGTATCCTTTTTATCTTGGTATTTTATTTTGTAAATTTTTCCATATTGCCATAGTGTATTATATATATATATATATTTTTTTTTTTTGAGACAGAGTCTCATTCTGTTGCCCAGGTTGGAGTGCAGTGACATGATCTCGGCTCACTGCAACCTCCACCTCCGGGGTTCAAGTGATTTTCCTGCTTCAGCCTTCTGAGTAGCTGGGATTACAGGCACCTGTCACCTTGCCTAGCTAATTTTTGTATTTTTAGTAGAGAAAGGATTTTGCCATGTTGGCCAGGCTGGTCTCAAACTCCTGACCTCAGGTGATCCGCTTGCGGCCTCCCATAGTGCTGGGATTATAGGGTTGAACCTGGCTAGTATATTACTTTTAATGTCTATTAGTCTGATCAGTGGATATTTCATGAAGTAGATATTGTTTCAGGTGGGTAGTCATAATTTTTTTTAAGCACTTAATCTATTTTATATTTAGGTTCATCTATTTAGCATATCTTTTTTTCTTAGAGTTTCATCTAAGTGTCATATTGTTTAAATATTGGTATTACAGAATTAAACAAGACTGACAAGGCTGTTACTCTCAAAGTATGAGTTGTATATAATTTTTTTTTATTATAAAATTTATTTTAGAGATGGGGTCTTGCTCTGTTTTAGCTACTAGAGTGCAGTGACACGATCTTGGCTTACTGCAGCCTTGATCTCCTGGGCCCAAGTTATCTTCTCACCTTAGCTTTTGAGTAGCTGGAAGTACAGACCTGTGCTACTACACCCAGCTAGTTTTTAAATTTTTTTGTAGAGACAGTGTCTTGCTTTATTGCCAGGCTGGTCTCAAACTCCTGGCCTGTAGCAATTTTCCTGCCCCAGCCTCCCAAAATACTGGGATAGGGTAATTTTGTAGAATGCTTTGTTGTCTATTACTAAAGCTATAGAATCCTTTGAAATTAACTGAAATGTTGTTGCCTGACTGTATTAGATATTATTTAAATTTATTCCCTGGGTATGTGAGATGAGGATAAGGGCAGAGTCCTTCTTACTAATCCCCATCATTCTAATTAGAGAAGATACACTAACCTAGGTGTATCTCAGTAGGAGCCTGTATGTTGGATCACTTGTATGATAGTTAAAGAGTGTTTAGAGTCCTTTAGCTTACTGGCGGCTGTACCCAGAGGCCCTGAGCAAGGATAAGCAAAGGGAAAATAGAGAAGTGGGCTATACTAATTAATTGTAATGATATTATAGTTGTCATTTTGTGTGTTTTCTTGCAGATTATTAGTTAAGCATGTACGAAACTTGAGATCTGAATGTGTAGGACTGGAAAACCAAATAAAGAAGTAAGTGACTTTTAGAGCTAGAAGTTGCCTTAGATACTAACTTAGCTCTTGCATTTTACAGGTGAGGAAACAGAGTCCCACAAACATTAATTAAAATAATGTATCAATAGTCAGATGATGATAGGATAGAACATAGTTATGACTTCTAGTCTAGTTCTTCTAATAAATTATTATTGGTTTCCGATTAAATTTTATTTTTTGTTGGAGTAGTTGTTGGTGGGTGGGTTGCAGACTAAGTAGCTCTTTGGATATTAAAATTACCATGTGATTTTTTTCATATGACTAATTATTTAATTTTTATTAGAATGGAACCCTATGATGACCACAGTAATATAGAAGAAAAAATTCAAAAGGTGAGACAACTTTTGAAAGGAGACATTTAATCTTTTTAAATTCTGTGATATGCAGTGTTTGCTGAGTCTGTCGGACTCTTATAGCCAGGTCTGGGGGCGCTTGCCTGTAGTCCCAGCTACTTGGGTGGCTGAGGCATGAGAGTCACTTGAACCTGGGAGGCAGAGGTTGCAGTGAGCTGAGACTGTGTTACTGCACTCCAGCCTAGGTGACAGAGCGAGACCCTGTTTCAAAAAAAATAGAAAAGAAAAAAAGTGAACTAATTAGAGATATTTAATATTGTATTTGTATTATGCAGGAAGAACATGTGTATAATTATGGTATTTCCCTACCTCCCTCCCTCTTTTGTAAATTCGATTAAAGCATAACATATATCCAAAAAATGTGTAAATCATTAGTGTATAGCTTGACAATTTTTTGTTTTGTTTTGTTTGAGACGGAGTTTTGCTCTTGTTACCCAGGCTGGAGTGCGATGGCGCGATCTCGGCTAACCGCAACCTCTGCCTCCTGGGTTCAGGCAGTTCTCCTGCCTCAGCCTCCTGAGTAGCCGGGATTACAGGCACTCACCACCATGCCTAGCTAATTTTTTGTATTTTTAGTAGAGACGGGTTTCACCATGTGGACCAGGATGGTCTCGATCTCTTGACCTCGTGATCCACCCGCCTCGGCCTCCCAAAGTGCTGGGATTACAGGTGTGAGCCACTGCACCTGGCGGCAGCTTGACAAATTTTTACAAAGTGAACACGCTCATGCAACCAATATTGTTTAAGGAATAGAATGTTACCAGCACCCTAGAATCCTTGAACTGTTTCCTCCCGTGGGGAAACACTGTTCACCTGTTACACTAAAGATTAGTTTTGCCTGTTTTTGAACTTTATATAAATGGGACTATATAGAATATATTTTTTTGTGTCTGACTTTGACTCAACATTGTTTATGAATTTATCCATGCTGTTCTGTTGTTTGTAATTGTAGTGTTTATTCTCATTGCTGTGTAGTGTTCTATTTTATGAATATAGCACCATTGTGCCCTTTTAATTCTAGATGAACCTTTGGGTTGTTTCTACTTTTTGATTATTACAAATAGATATTGTATGAACATATGTGTGTGTGTGTGTGTGTATTTTTTTTTTTTGTAAGGATCCTGGGCTTAAGGGATTCTAGTGCCTCAGTCTTTTGAGTAGCTGGGATTGTGGGTATGTGCCTCTGTGCCTGCCTAAATGTTCTAATGAATATAGGATTAGTGTATGCCTAAGATTTTTTGCTTTTAATGAGGTGTAATTTTTCACACTTTAACTTTCCTCAAACTGAGTTACTTAAAATTGAGATGTAGTAGTTTTTTCCTCTTGAAAATTTTTAAAAATTGTTTCTCCCTGAATGATTGTCATTAGATTGATTACATGTCATATATAGAAAATGCTAATTGTGGCTGGGTGTGGTGGTTCATGCCTGTAATCCCAGCACTTTGGGAGGCCGAGGCAGGCGGGTCACCTGTGGTGGGGAGTTTAAGACCAGCCTGACTAACAGTAGAAACCCCGTCTCTACTAAAAATACAAAATTAGCTGTGTGTGGTGGCGCATGCCTGTAATCCCAGCTACTTGGGAGGCTGAGGCCGGAGAATCGCTTGAACCTGGGAGGCGGGGGTTGTGGTGAGCTGAGATCACGCCATCACACTTCAGTCTGGGTAACAAGAGCGAAACTCCGTCTCAGAAAAGAAAATGTGAATTGTCTCTTGGTGGTATAAAGTTTCTTAGATTTGGAGCTGGGTGCAGTGGTGCGTGCCTGTAGTCCCAGCTACTTGGGAGACTGATGTGGGAAGGTTGCATGAGCTTAGGAGTTTGATTCCGGCCTGGGCAACATAGCAACACCCCATCTGTTAAAAAAAAAAAATGTCTTAGATTTGTTTGAAAATTATAGTGAGCTCGATTCTCCTGATACATTTTTTAAAAAGTCTCTTTGGAAGTAGTATCAGTTTTTAAAAACTATTAAAATATAATTATTTAATTTTCTTACTAGAAATCATCCTAGGAAATTTGTTAGTAAGAGTGAACATATATTTACAGTTTTAAAATATATGTATAGATTATGTGTGGACTTTAATATTTTCTTTCTGTTTTTAAAGGTTCGATCTTTGTGGTCTTCAGTGAATGAAACACTCGTGTTTTTGGAAAAAGAGAGAGAAATTGTTAGTTCGGTTCTTAGTCTTGTTAACCAATATGCTTTAGATGGAACTAATGTTGCTATTAATATTCCAAGGCTCTTACTTGACAAAATTGAGAAACAAATGTTTCAGGTAAGCATTTGAAAGTAAGGAAGCTTTTGAGAAAACTCCTGCCCTGTTATTATATATTTTCTTGCAATGTTCTGCTTTCAGAATTTATTTCTGTAAGCATATTTAGTAAAACTTTCATAAAGAGAGATACTGTTAAAGGTGTGTATATTTATATGTATTGACTTTTATTAATTGCCCCATACCTGTACAGCACTGCATCATACAGTGTAGAGAGTGTGAGGTTTCCTAGTAGGAAGATGATAATTGCCAAATGTCCTTTTCAAAAGTCTCCATCCCCTGGCTTCTGTTTTATCTTGATGCTGTTAAGTTGCTTGTAAAGTCTTCTTCCTTTAGCTTTGTGACCTCAGTGTCTCTGCTTTTCTGTAGTCTTTCAGACTGCTGCTGTTTTTTCCTCTAGTTTCTTTTTTTTTTTTTCAGACAGAGTCACTCTGTTGCCCAGGCTGGAGTACGGTGGCATGATCTTGGCTGACTGTAACCTCTCCCTCGGTTCAAGTCATTCGCCTGCCTAAGCCTTCCAAGTAGCTGGGATTACAGGCGTGTGCCACCATGCCTGGCTAATTTTTGTATTTTAAGTACAGACGGGATTTCAGTGTGTTAGCCAGGCAAGTCTCAAACTCGTGACCTTGAGTGATCCACCTGCCTCGGCCTCCCAAAGTGCTGGGATAACAGGTGTGAATCACTGCACCCGGCTTGGTTTCTTTTTTTCTATATAACTTTTAAATAATGTTCTCCATGGGTTCTTTTAATGCTCTCTTATTCTTTCCCTCATTATAAATTTATTTGATTTTTCTTACCAATTTAATGACTTCAACAGTCTCTCCTCATGAACCCAAACTCTATCCAATTATTTCCACTTGCTTATGGAACATTATCTGGATATCTTACCTTTTTGTTTTCTTAGAAAACACAGTTCATCAAGCATCTACTATATGCTGGGGAGATGCAAAGATAAAATATTGTTGTGACTCTCTGAAGAGTAATAGTAATTATATGTTATGGTAGAGGGAAAGTAGGAAGTGATGAGGTCTTCAGAGAAAATTACTACCTAACACGGTGGTTTCCTAAGATGGACATTAAAAAATAAAATGAAAATTATGACCACAATTTTTTTTTGCGACAGAGTCTTGCTCTGTCACCTAGGCTGGAGTGCAGTGTGAGATCTCAGCTCACTGAAATCTCCACCTCCCAGGTTCAAGTGATTCTCCTGCCTCAGCCTTTCAAGTAGCTGGGATTATAGGCATGCAGTGCCATGCCCGCCTCATTTTTGTATTTTTAGTAGAGACAGGGTTTCACCATGTTGGCCAGGCTGGTTTCAAACTCCTGACCTCAAATGATCCTCCTGCCTCAGCCTCTTAAAGTGCTGGGATTACATGGACTACTGCTCCTGGCCCATAATTTTTGTGTGAAATCTATGATTTAAAAAATATTGGAAATTAGCTGGGCATGGTGGGCTCACGCCTGTAATCCCAACACTTAGGGAGGCTGAGGTGGTCAGATCACTTGAGGTCTGGAGTTTGAGACCAGCTTGGCCAACGTGGTGAAACCCCATCTCTACTCAAATACAAAAATTAGCCAAACACGGTGGTATATGTCTATAGTCGCAGCTCCTTGGGAGGCTGAGGTGGGAGGATCACTTGAATACTGGAGTTGGAGGTTGCAGTGAGCCAAGATCGAGCCACTACACCCAGCCTGAGTAACCGAATGGGACTCTGTCCCAAAAAGAAAAAAATTGGCAACTAATTTAAATAATTTTAAAATACAGAACTGTGCAAGCTGAAGAAACACATTTAAGTACAGACACAGCTTTTAGGGGTCGTCGAGTTGTAACTTCTGTTAAAATGGGAATTTATGAACTTTTCACCAAACCTGTTCTTTCTGCTCAATCTTTATTTTTCTTTCCATCTATTAACATTTCTTTCTTTTCTGGGTTTTTTTTTTTTTTTTTTTTGAGATGGAGTTTCACTCTTTGTTGCCCAGGCTGGAGTGCAATGGTGCCATCTCAGTTCACTGCAGCCTCCACCTCCCACGTTCAAGCAATTCTTCTGTCTCAGCCTCCCGAGTAGCTGGGATTACAGGCACCGGCCACCATACCCGGTTAATTTTTGTATTTTTAGTAGAGACCAAGTTTTACCACATTGTCCAGGCTGGTCTCGAACTCCTGACCTCAGGTGATTTACCCTGCTCGGCCTCTGAAAGTGCTGGGCTTACAGGCGTGAGCCACTGCACCCGGCCAACATTTCTTTTACTCTAGTTTTCAACCTTTTGCATAACATAAAAATGTAGCAAGGTCTGTTAGTTCTTTCACAGTAGTTTTCATTGGACCAAAATTATTTAAGTCATTTTATGTTGGGGGTATTTGATTTTATTTTCTGTCTTTTTTAAGGTAAACTTTAATCATAAAAAGCCTAAATATATTTATGTAATAGTTTATTATTGTAACAAGTTATAGTTCACTACTTTTTTCTCCTCCTGATTTTTTAGTTGCACATAGGAAATGTTTATGAGGCTGGAAAATTAAACCTCTTAACAGTTATTCAGTTATTGAATGAAGTCTTGAAAGTAATGAAATATGAAAGTTGTCAGTCTGACCAAGCAGGATTGACAGTAGACCTTCACTACCTTGAAAAAGAGACCAAATTTCAGAAGGAAAGATTATCAGATCTGAAGCATATGAGGTACACTAGAAAGATCTGTTATTTTACTGTGGGAGGAATAGGGTGGTTTTCTCAGCAAAGATCTTGTATAACTTTAGTAGCTCTTCAGCTTTGGCATGTAAGCATGAGAATTCTACTAGTACTCAAAGACCTTATATAATTAACTCTTGGAGATACACATGCAGCAGAAAGGAAAAGGAAAATTAATGGAATAAATGATTTGCTCTGAATGATAATTTTTTATGAAATAATTTTAGCTTTTCTGTAGCTTCCTTTTGTTGGGTCTAATCATTAAACGAGGCTTTAGAAAAGTTTTTTTTTCTTTTGAGGTGAAGTCTTGCTCTGTAGCCCAGGCTGGAGTGCAGTGGCGCAATCCTGACTCACTGCAACCTCTGCCTCCTGGATCCCGGTTCAAGCAGTTTTCCTGCCTCAACCTCCTGAGTAGCTTGGATTACAGGCATGTGTCACCATGCCCAGCTAATTTTTGTATTTGCAGTAGAGACAGGGTTTCACCATGTTGGCCAGGCTGGTCTTGAACTCCTGACCTCGTGATCCACCCACCTCGGCCTCCCAAAGTGCTGGGATTATAGGCATGAGCCCCTGCACCCTGTCTTTTAAAATTTTTTTTTAAATTTAAATTTAAATTTTATTTGTTTTGAGACAGAGTCTTATTCTGTCACTCAGGCTGGAGTGCATCGGCACTAAAAACTCGGCTCACTGCACCCTCTGCCTTCCAGATTCAAGTGATTCTCCTACCGCAGCCTTTCAAATAGCTGGGACTACAGGCGCACGCCAGCATACCTGGCTAATTGTTTTTGTATTTTGAATAGAGATGAGGTTTTGCCATATTGGTCACTATATTGAACTCCTGACCTTGTGATCTGCCCACCTTGGCTTCCCAAAGTGCTGGATTACAGGCATGAGCCACTGTGCCCGGCCTATATTTTACTTTTTTTGAGGTGGAGTTTTACTCTTGTTTCCTAGGCTGGAGTGTATGGAGTGCAATGGTGCAATCTCGGCTCACTGCAACCTCCACCTCCTGGGTTCAAGCGATTCTCTCCTGCCTCAGCCTTCTGAGTAGCTGGAAATACAGGCACCCATCACCAAGCCTAGCTAATTCTTATATTTTTAGTAGAGACGAGGTTTCACTAGGTTGGCCAGGCTGATCTTGAACTCCTAACCTCAGGTGATCTGCCCACCTTGGCCTCCCAGAGTACTGGGATTACAGGTGTGAGACACTGCTTCCGGCCTGCTTTCTGGTCTTGAAAAGAGAAAGTGGCTGCACGCTGTGGCTCACCCCTGTAATCCTAGCATTTTCGGAGGTCAGGGCAGGTGGATCTCGTGGTCAGGAGTTCAAGTCCAGCCTGGCCAACATGGTGAAACCCCATTTCTACTAAAGATACAAAATATTAACCAGCTGTGGTGGCAGCACATGCCTGTAATCCCAGCTACTCTGGAGGCTGAGGCAGGAGAATCTCTTGAACTTGGGAGGTGGAGCTTGCTGTGAGCTGAGATCACACCATTGCACTCCAGCTTGGGTGATAGGGTGAGATTTTGTCTCAAAAAAACAAAAAACAAAAAATGAGAGAAAGGTATTTTAGGTTCTGCAAATTCACCTGTGAGTTTATTTAATTTGTATGTGGTATATTGATTGAACTTGTAGTTCACTTTCCTTTCACTTCTCTACAGCTATTGTTATTTTCTTAAATTTTACTCAGTGCTTTTCGTATCTTCATATTTTGAATAAAGTTTTTTATTTCTATTGTAGGTATAGAATAAAAGATGATCTCACAACTATAAGACATTCTGTTGTTGAAAAGCAGGGAGAATGGCATAAAAAGTGGAAAGAATTTCTTGGTTTGTCTCCTTTCAGTCTAATTAAAAGTTGGACTCCAGTAAGTAATATCGACTTGCCCCTGCCCCCCACCCACCTTTTTTTTTTTTTAATTTTTTTTTTTCGACAGTGTCTTTCTCTGTTGTGCAGACTACAGTAGAGTGGCACGATTATAGCTGGCTGCAATAGAGTGGCACTATCGTAGTTGGCTGGAGTACAGTGGCATGATCATAGCTGGCTGGAGTATAGTGGCATGATTATAACTTGTAACCGTGAACTTCTGGGCTCAAGCAATCCTCCTACCTCAGCCTTTCAAGTAACTGGGACTATAGGTGTGCACCACCAAGCCTGGCTAATTTTTTCTTTAATTTTATAGACAAGGTCTCCCTGTACTGCTAAGTCTGGTCTTAAACTCCTGGGCTCAAGTGATCTTCCTGCCTCGGCCTCCCCAATGTGGTGGGATTACAGATATGAGCCACTGCACTCAGCCAGTTTGTCTTTTGGAGAATAGTTTGATATATGGTAATTTGTGAATTTATTGTATTACACATGACCTAGAAATGTTGTATGTATGTCATCTTTGCATTCGAGTCTAAAGTTCACATGTATTCTATAATTTTTCTTTTTTTGAGACGGAGTTTCACTCTTATTGCTCAGGCTAGAGTGCAATGGTGTGATCTCAGCTCACTGCAGCTGCCTGAGTTCAAGCGGTTTTTTTTTTTTTTTTTTGCCTCAGCCTCCTGGGTAGATGGGATTACAGGCATGTGCTACCATGCCTGGCTAATTTTGTCTTTTTAGTAGAGATGGGGTTTTACCATGTTGGCCAGGCTGGTCTTGAATGCTTGACTTCAGGTAATCCACCCACATCTGCCTCCCAAAGTGCTGGGATTACAGGTGTGAGTCGTTAAGCCCAGTCAGAAAACAGGACTCCTCTTAATGTGAGGTACTATGACATTTGAGAAGTTCAGGGACTAAGTAATCTCCCTTGCTCCTAATACTCTGCTTTAAAAATACCTTACAGGGCTGGGTGTGGTGGCTCACACATGTAATCTCTGTTTTGGGAAGCTGAGGCAGGAGGATCATTTGAGGCCAGGAATTGGAGACCAGCCTGGGCAACATAGTGAGACCCCAACTCTACCCAAAAAAACCCCCCAAAACTGGGTGTTATGGTGTGTCCCTGTAGGCCTAGCTACTCGAGAGGCTGAGGTGGGAGGATTGCTGAAGCTCAGGAGATTGAGGCTTCAGTGAGCTATGATAATACCACTGCACTCTAGACTGGATGAGGGAGTAAGAACCTATCTCTAAGATAAATAAATAAATAAAGTTATCTGATCTATGCTTGGTAATTCCATCTGTCTTAGGGAGAAAATGATCTATTTATAGATTAACTCAGCATTGTTATTGTAGTTAGCAAATATGTTTACTTCAAAATTGTGAATTTCTGTTTTAAGTCTGTAGATCTTTTACCACCAATGTCTCCCCTTTCATTTGATCCTGCCTCAGAAGAAGTGTATGCAAAGAGTGTTCTTTGTCAGTATCCTGCTTCACTTCCAGGTTGGTTATTTATCTTTTTCTCTTTTAAACCTCCATCTTGTTATTCTTTCCCGTTATGATAATATTTATAGTCTGTCTTTTTTTCTCCATTTTTTTATTTTGGTGAAATGCATGTAACATAAAATTCACTATTTCAGTTATTGCAAAGTATATAACTCAGTGGCATTTAGTATATTTACAGTGTTGTGCAGTCATTATCACTATCTGGTTCCAGAACTTTTTCTTTTTTGTTTTTGAGACAGGGTCTCACTCTTGCCCAAGCTGGAGCACAGTGGCACAATCATAGCTCACTGTAGCCTTGAGCACCCCAGACTCAGGTGATCCTCCTCGCTCAGCCTCTCATGTAGCTGGGATTGTAGGTGTGTCCCAGCTAATTTGTGTGTGTGTTTGTAGAGATGGGATTTTGCCATGTTGCCCAGGTTGGTCTCGAACTCCTGGGCTCAAATGGTTGACCTGTCTCAGCCTTCCACAGTGCTGGGATTACAGGCATGAGCCATTGAGCTCAGCCCCCAGATTATTTTCATCATCTCAAAGAAAACCCCCTAACCCATTAAACAGTCAGTTTCATTTTCCCTCTAGTCCCTGGCAGCCGGTAATGTACTTGTTTTTTGTTTTTTGTTTTTTTTTTCTTTTTTGAGATGGAGTCTTGCTCTGTCGCCCAGGCTGGAGTACAATGGCACAGTCTCGGTTTACTGCAACCTCTGCCTCGGTTTCAAGCAATTCCCTTGCCTCAGTCTTCCGAGTAGCTGGGATTACAGGCATATACCACTATGCCAGGTTAATTTTTTTTTGTCTTTTTAGTAGAGACAGGGTTTCACCGTGTTGGCCAGGCTGGTCTTGAGCTCCTGACCTCAAATGATCTGCCTGCCTCGGCCTCCCAAAATGCTGGGATTCCAGGTGTGAGCCACCGTGCCTGGCTGAGTAAAATACTTATCTCTGGATTTGCCCGTTCTGGGTATTTCATATAAATGAAGTCATACAATATGAGGCCTTTTGTTTCTGGCTTCTTTCACTTACACTGTTTTTAATTTTGCACAATGTTTTCTCAAACTGATTTCAAGCAATCTTCCTTTCTTGGCCTTCCAAAGTGCTGGGATTATAGGCATGAGGCGCCACATGTACAGTATTTTCAAGTTTTACACATCTTGTAGCATGTATCCTCCTCCAATTTTTTAAAATCGTATTTGTTCAGATATAATTCACCTATTAAAAATGTACAGTTTTCTTGGTTTTTGCTAAATTCACAAATAATGTGCAACCATCAACACAACTGTAAACATTTTCATCACCTCGAAAAGAAAGCTCTTACCCTTTAGTTATCACCCCTAAATCCCTCTTTGCTTCTCCCGTTCAAAGCAATTATGAAGATATTTTCTGTCTCTAGAGTTCCCTGTCTGGATTTTCATATGGATGGAATCATATAACATATAGACTTTGTGACTGGCTTCTTTCACTTAGCATAATGTTGTCAAAGTTCATCTAAGTCGTAGCACATATCAGTCAGTATTGCATTCCTTTTTATCAATGCATGCCATTGTATGCCTCTAGCACATTTCGTTTATCCGATCATCTATTGATGAACATTTGGGTTGTTTTCACCTCTTGGCTGTTACGAGTAATGCTGCTATAAATATCTGTACAGGTGTTTTGTAGAAGCTCACCATTTTTTTAACATGAAAGAATAGTACAATAATTAACCCGAATATCTACCCCCGTTTCAACAATTAACATTGACCATATTTGCTTTATGTGTGTTTGTATGTGTGTATATGCTAAACCAAGTAAGTTCTAGATACTGTGACACCTCACTCAAAGTGTTTCAGTGTACATTTTCATAAAAATAAGTATATTTTCCTAAATAACTACCATACTGTTATCACACCTAAAATAATTTCCACAATATTTAATATTCATTTTGCTCAGTTGCATAGTACTTGTGTACAAGACATTTTAATTAGGTTCAGTAAATGGAGGATAGTTAATTGAAGGAATGAATGAATGAAAAATTATATAGATAAATTGGAGGAGGTAATAGTTGTAGGCTATAGTTCAGTCAGGCGAAAGATCACGACAGCAGTTAGCACAGGGCTTAATCACTGGGATAGGTAATTGGTTTGAGAGTCAGGTATATTTGGGGAGTACACTGGTTGGAAAAGAATGTAGACCAGAGAGCAAGGCTCAGTTTAGGTACAACCAGAAGAGTCAGCATAGAAAAAAGTCTGCATGGGGCTGGGCATTGTGACTTAAACCTATAATTCCAGCACTTTGGGAAGCTGAGGCTGGAAGATTGCTTAAGCCCAGGAGTTCGAGACCGGCCTGGACAACATAGTGAGACCTACTTTCTACAAAAATATAAAAATTAGTGAGGCATGGTGGTATGTGCCTTTAGTCCTAGCTTTTCAGGAGGCTGAGGTGGGAGGATCATTTGAGCCCAGGAGTTCAAGGCTGCAGGGAGCTATGACTGCTCCACTGCACAACGCTCCTGCCTGGGCAAGAGTGAGACCCTATCTCTCTCTCTTTTTCTTAAATTTTAACTTAAAAATTTTTTTAAATTAAAAATTAGTGTTATCCATGCTCAGGGGCCATGCTTATCTTCTCTGTATTGTTCCAATTTTAGTATAGGTACAGCTGAAGTGAGCACAAGAGACTGTTTTTTTAAAAAAAAATAAAGAAAGGCTGCCTGGTTTGATAAACGAAGAGCTTCAGATAGAGCATTCTGGTTCCATGGTAGCTTTGGACAGTCCTTAATTATGATAGAATTCTTCTGATAGGTCTTCGTTTTGTTTTTATTTTTATTTTATTTTATTTTTGAGTTATTATTTCTCTCTGTCTCTCTTTCTCTCTCTCTCTCTCTCTCTCTCTTTTTAGATCCACTAGTCAACAGAGCTCTTGGCATGTGTTTTTTAGGTTTTTGTTTCAGCTGAAAAAGGGCTTTCGCACTCTTGCCCAGCTTAGTTTACCACTGTGAATCCATGAAATTCTCATGTCCATTTGGAGGTTTCTCTACTTACTTTTATACTGAGGGAAAATGTGTCTGTTTAGGAAGTCCAGTCAGAAGTTATACTCTTGGGAGTCCTTTTTTCTTTCCTAGTGTAGAACCTTGATCTGAGTTGGGGTGCTTAAACATTATTTTATATTTTTTTGTGGTAAAACAACCTTTTCTGCCTTCCTGTACCTTACATACTGCATTGTAATTTACTTTAAAAATGTTTTTAAGGCCAGGTGTGGTGGCTCCTGCCTGGAATCCCAGCACTTTGGGAGGTCGAGGCGGCCGGATCACTTGAGGTCAGGAGTTCGAAACCAGCCTGTCCAACATGGTGAAACCCCATCTCTACTAAAAATATAAAATTAGCCAGGCATGGTGGTGCATGCCTGTAATCCCAGCTACTTGGGAGGCTGAGGCAGGAGAATTGCTTGAACCTGGGAGGCGGAGGTTGTAGTGAGCCAAGATCGTGCCACTGCACTCCAGCCTGGGCAACAAGAGCAAAACTCCATCTCAAAAAAAAAAAAAAAAAAAAAAGAAAGATTAAAAATGTTTTAGAAAATTATATTTTAGCATATTGAGAAGTACAGAGAATAATATACATACTTGTTTATTAAACACCACTTCTTGGCAAAGTTTTACAATCTTCACCTTAGATTTTTAAAAAATGTACATATGTAGTTAATCCTTGGATATCCACCTTTCTTCAACTTCCTTACTGATTTCACTATTCTGAATATAATCTTTGTTCTGATTATGTTTATAAAATAATTTTATTACATATATAGGCTTATAAACTATACATATCATTTTTCTTTCTCTTTTTTAAAATTTATAAATGAAAGTTTTCTTACAATATTCCAAAAGGTCCCTTGTTAATGTTTGTATTTTTCAAACCAGTATCCAAGGAAGGTTAGTTCATTACCTGTGATTGTTTTATTCTCTTAGTAACTTTTATTCTAGAATAATGCCTCTTCTTTTTTTGAATGACATTGATAGAAATTGTTCTTACTGTTTACTTTGTTTAAATTGACCAACATGATTAATGACTTTTTTGGTCTATTATTTTGTTTTTCTCCTTTTGAGAAGCGTATCTCAAAGCATATGCTTAATTCTTGGACTCTGAATAGTAAAATTCTCAGTCTTTCTGTGAAAATGTCTCCATTTTCACTCATTTCTGAGTGATAGTTTGGTTGGATATAGAATTCTAGGTTGACACTTATTTCTCTTTTGGACTTCGATGATATGATTTCATTGTTTTTTGTTGTTTCTGAGGCTATTTGCTGTTAGTCTAATTGTCATTCATTTGTAGTTAGGTGTATGTTTTGTTTTGTTTTTTTCCAGACAGAGTGAGTGTCTGTCACCCACGTTGGAGTGTAATGGTGTGATCTCAGCTCTCTACAACCTTTGCCTCCCTGGTTCAAACAGTTCTGCCTGAGCTTAGTGTGTAGCTGGGATTCCAGGCATGCGCCACCACACCCTGCAAATTTTTGTATTTTTAATAGAGATGGGACTTCACCACATTGATCAGCCTGTTCTTGAACTGCTGACCTCAAGTGATCTGCCCGTCTTGGCCTTCCAAACCACTGCGCCCGGCCCATTAGTAATTTTTTTTTTTTGAGAGGGAGTTTTGCTATTGTTGCCCAGGCTGGAGTGCAAGAGCACAATCTCTGCTCACTGCAACCTCTGCCTCCTGGATTCAAACGCTTCCTCTACTTCAGGCTTCCAAGTAGCTGGGATTACAGGTGTGTGCCATGATGCCTGGCTAATTTATATATTTTTAGTTAAGATGGAGTTTTGCCACATTGGCAAGGCTGGTTTCAAACTCCTGACCTCATGTGATCTGCCTGCCTTGGCCTCTGAACGTGCTGGGATTACAGGCATGAGCCACCGGGCTCAGCCCATTTGTCGTTAGTTAATTTTTGATTTCTGGTTGCTTTTAAGGTTTTTCTTTGACTGGGCATGGTTGCTTATGCCTGTAATCCCAATACTTTGGGAGGCTGAGGCAGAAGGATTGCTTGAGCCTGGGAGACCAACCTGGGCAATATAGTAAGATCCTAACTCTACAAAAAAATACAAAAAATTAGCTGGGCGTGGTGTCACAAACCTGTGGTCCCATTTACTTGGGAGGCTGAGGTGGGAGGATGGCTTGAGCCCAGGAAGTTGAGGCTGCAGTGAGCCATCATTTTGCCACTGCACTCAGCCTGGGTGACAAAGCAAGACCCTGTCTCACGAAAAAAAAGAAAAAAAGAGAAAAAAGAATTTGCCTATTTGTGGTTTGTGTGTGCTTATTTATTCTGAAATCTCTTATCTTTCTTCAATTTTAGAAACTTATTCACCAATGTCTTTTATAATATTACTTTGTCTCTTATTCTTTCGATCCTTTACTTCTGAAACTCCTATTGTTGGGACTGACTTCTGTCTTTCATTTCTTTTAACTTCTCATTTATATTTATAATTTTTTTGTATCTCATGGCTTCTTCTTTAGATCTCTCTTATAACTCACTGATTATCTTTCAGTTATGTTTAATCTGCTTTTTGGCCTGTTTAGTAGTTACTAGTCATAGGCACATACTTTTTACCTCTGTAAGCCTTACTTACTTCTTTTCTATAACTGCCTGTTTTTTATGGTGTCATCTTGTTTCATTGTGGCTTCTGTTTCACTTTGGACATATAAAAATGGGGAAAGCCTTTCAGAAGGTAACATGTTGAAAAAGGTTGCGCCCTTGGACTGTCAGATCTTCTGTAATCCAGCCATGGCTTTCTCCACCAATCTTACTTCCCAGCATGCTTCCACTGGAAATACCCTGTGCTGCAGCATAGCAACTTGTACGTCATTCTTTCAGTACCTTCAGGCCTTCTTCCCATCCTCAGTCTGGGCTGGATGTCTCTCCTCTGCCTCGTTAAATTCTGTGTATACTTCTGTCATAGTACTGTACATGTACAGCATAACACTTGACTCATCACTATCTTTTCCAAGACTGACTCTTTGGAGGCACGGTCTCCATCTTTTATTTCTTTCCCATCATTAGTATGGTAGTAGCATGTAGTTATTCAGTTATTCAGTCATAGATTGAAGAATAAATATATGGGTTGACTGATAGCATAAATGTGCACTGAAATATTCTAAGACTGTGACTTTTTGGCCTTGCTGGTTTTTTTTATAATCGCATGATCTTTGTATATAAACATAAAGCATGTAACGCTGGGGAATTAAGGGTTCTTACTCTTTGAGAAACTTGTTTTAGTATTAGCCATCATTTCTTTTATAAAAGCTAGATATTGTCTTGTTACTTTTCTGCTAATCACTTTACACTTATCAATAGAAAACTATCTTTTCCTATTATTGTGCATATTATTTTGATTTTTTTGTTTTCTTCTATATAGAAGTTGTTCTAGAATTTCAAGAGATACTTGAATATTACACTGTACAAACATAAAGAGTAATCAGTTTTTCAATTTCTTTAGATACACATAAGCAACATAATCAAGAAAATGGTTGTAGAGGAGACAGCGATACCATGGGAGCTCTACATGATCTAGCCAACAGGTAAAACAAATTTGATTTTCTTTTGTTAAACATTTAAAAAATTTTTACTTTATAAAAAATAGAGTTGAAACTGGGTGTAGTGGCTTACTCCTATAATCCCAGTACTTTGGGAGGCTGAGGGAGGAAGATTGCTTGAGTCCAGGAGTTCTAGACCGGTCTAGGACTAGCAAGACCCTGTCTGTACTAAAAGAAAAAACAAAAGATTTGGTCTTTCTAGGTTGCAGAGGCTAGTCTTTAACTCTTGGCCTCAAGAGATCCTCCTGCTTCAGCCTCCCTAAGTGTTGGGATGATGGTCATGACCCCCTGTGCCTGGCCCACATTTGATTTTTATATTGATATTTTTCCTATATTAATTTTATTTCCATCTTAAACCAGTTTTCAAACTTCCTTACTCTGGAATAATGCATACTTTTGCCCGGTTTGTTTATTTATTTATGAGCGAATGAATGAATGAATAAGATGGAGCCTGCTCTTGCTGCCCAGGCTGGGGTACAATGGAGCAATCTTGGCTCACTGCAACTTCTGCCTCTTGGGTTCAAGCAGTTCTCCTCCTGGGTTCAAGCTACCTCCCAAGTAGCTGGGATTACAAGCGCCCGCCACCATGCCCAGCTAATTTTTGTATTTTTAGTAGAGACAGAGTTTTACCACGTTGGCCAGGCTGGTCTCAAACTCCCGATCTCAGGTGATCTGCCCAACTTGGCCTCCCAAAGTTCTGTGATTATAGACGTGAGCCACTGCGCCAAGCTCATTTTGCCCTTTAGCCAGACAGTAGTTTTCTACCATAGACCCACATTTTCAGAAAAGGTCCAACATTTATGGTACATGGGAGTTTTTTTCCCTTCTGTTGTTTGTCTAAATATTGGGTTTCCGTGGGGATTATTTGGAAATTATCTAATGCAAGTTTGGGCATTTTTGCCTTTTTATGTGTGTGAACTTTTTTGAAACCACTCTATTGACAAGTCAAAATGTTTGGGGGCCTTTGAGGTAATCTTGTCCAGATAATTTTCAGGCTGTATCCTTTAATGCCATTTTGTGCTGTGGATGAATCTAGCATAACCTGTGTCTGGTCCAGCCCTTTCCCACTTTAGCCTGGGCAACTTGCTCTTTTATATATATTATGTATTGGGGTGTTTGGTAAACTATTTGATAAGAAGAATTCCATGCTTAAAAAGAATTTGGAGAATTTCTGATTTACTGTAACCCCCAGATTTAACATATGAAAAAACTGAACTTTGTTCTAACTTCTTTCAGTAATATTCCTGTTTTCTTTATTGCCTGTTTTTTCTCCTCTATTATCCCATTTTGGACAGATTACAGATTATACAAACCAAAAAAAAAAATCTGTGAACTCTATGTATGTAATCTGATTGGGGAGCATATTCTTTATTGAAATTAAATATTATGACGTAGCAATCCAACACAAACTTTTTTTTTTTAATTATTTCTCAACCTAAATAGGTGTCTTTCATTCCTACTTCCTTAAGTAGATAAGAGACAGATGAAAATAAAATACTTAGGAAAATTATAAAAGAAAATCCTAAATTTTAAATGAATTGAAGCACTCATCATTCTATATACTCTTAGTAAGTTAATAAGCCGTAACACTATAACCAGAGTCAAAACTGTTTTTGTGAAATTGAGTTATTGGTAGTTCTGCAGTAATCTTCCAGTTCACAGCAGTCAGGACTAGTTGTGGAAGAACCGTGTTTTTCGTCTTATCTGGATTTGATGTTAGGTTTTTGAGTTCCTAAAGAAAAATAATGAAATCTTCTGTGAGGACCTGGTATTGAAGAGACAGTAAAGTTACTGGCCTATGTATTTTACAGTCGTATTACAATTGCTTTTATGGCAGGCTGGGTGAGGGTATGGTTTGCTTCCCAAACTCAATTATGTTTTTGGTTTGTTTTCCCTTGAGAGAGCAAATTAAGTATTTTTAAGGTATTTTGCTGGACTAAATATTGATGGGGATACTAGATTAATACATATAGCAGATTTTATTTTTGAACTCCATTAAACCTTAAGATTCTTATTTTTGGAGGGAGGGCCGGGTACGTGCATGTAATCCCAGCACTTTGGGAGGCCAAGGTGGGTGGCTCACCTGAGGTCAGGAGTTCGAGACCAGCCTGACCAACATGATGAAACTCCGTCTCTACTACAAATATAAAAAATTAGCTGGTGTGGTGGTGCATGCCTGTAATCCCAGCTACTTGGGAGGCTGAGACAGGAGAATTGCTTGAACCTGGGAGGTGGAGGTTGCAGTGAGGTGAGGCTGCACCATTGCACTCCTGCCTGGATAATAAGAGCGAAACTCCATCTGAGAAAAAAAAAAAAGATGATTTGTTTTGAAGAATTTTGTGCCAAGATACACTATCAGAATTCTACAGGAGGCCAGGCGTGGTAGCTCACGCCTATAATCCCAGCACTTTGGGAGGCTGAGGTGGGCGGATCACGAGGTCAGGAGATCGAGACCATCCTGGCCAACATGGTGAAACCCCGTCTCTGCTAAAAATACAAAAAATAAGCCAGGCGTGGCGGCCAGTGCCTGTGGTCCCAGCTACTCGGGAGGCTGAGGCGGAAGAATCGCTTGAACCCAGGAGGCGGAGGTTGCAGTGAGCCAAGATTGCGCCATTGCACTCCAGCCTGGCAACAGAGCAAGACTCCATCTCAAAACAAACAAACAAACAAACAAACAAAGAAACAAACAAAAGAATTCTATAGGAGACAGAAATGCCACTCCTAAGAATGTAGTTCAAAAGGAAACTCATAATATAGGAGAAAGAAGCTATATTAAATATACTTAGGTTTCTACATCTGTCTTCCTCAAAGCCCCTGGATCTTTTATTATAAGCTCCTGATTATTTTAATGATGGATTTGAGATACTGACAGGAGGTAGGGGAAAGCCTGGTGGTGAGGGATCAGTGCTTAATGGGATGCGAAAGATTATTATTGCTAGATAGTGGAATAGAACAGAAGGCCTATGAAAAGCTAAGTTGCTGGGATGTGGAAGTAGTCTGCTCAAAATTCTTCTCTGTTAAAGGTATATGTAGTTAAATGTTCCATCAGTAATATGTAACACAGATGGACTGTACTTATGAAAGAAAATAATACCTTTTTTGCATGTAGTTCAGCAGTTACACTATTTTATATCAGTAACCATGTAGTTAACTGGGAAGTTCATATGTGGATATGATCAATATAACTCTTCAGTTAAAAAACATGGAAAGAATGTAGTTTTTAGGCAGTGTTACTGGCCCTATCACATGCAGTTGTCATTCACGGTTACCGAAAGATATGTAGTTTTTTCCATAAATCTCATTGCTGGCCTTTTTTTTTTTTTTTTTTGAGAGGGGTCTTGCTCTGCCACCCAGGCAGGAGTACAGTGGTGCAGTCACAACTCATTGCAGCTTTGACCTCCTGGGTTCAAGTGATCCTCCCGCCTTAGCTACCCAAGTAGCTAGGAGTATAGGCATGCGCCTCCACACCCAGCTAATTAAAAAAAAAATTTTTTTTTTGTAGAGATGAGGTCTCTCTGTGTTGCCCAGGCTGGTCTCAAACTTCTGAGCTCAAGTGATCCTCCCATGTCAGCTTCCCAAAATGCTAGGATTTCAGATATGAGCCACTGTGCCTGGCTTTCATTTCTGGTTCCAATCAGAGTGAGCTCATGGAAGCTTCATTATACTTAAAACCAGAATTCAGCAATTGGTGATGCCTTTGGTGTATACTCTGAGCATTATCTTTGCAGTGGCTTTGTGTGTGTGTCTGTGGGTGTTCCATAATATTTCTAATGGTAACAACGCTGTTGTTCTAGACATCTAACTTCTATGTTTTCTCCTGTACCATGTTTCAAAGATAAGAAGGGCAGTATGATCTTGCATACACATCAGCTAAACATCGTTTGTGTTAGAAATTGAATTCTAGTCTCACATCTTTTCCTTTTGATAGTTCCTATTTTTATTATTCTCCTAATTATTGATATAACAACAATAGCAAATAAAGATGAGAAATAGTCGGTTAAAATTTCTAAGGAATCACTTGTAACCTTTTTTTCCCCAAGTTCTTACCTAGGCCTTGTATATCATCATATATATATTTAGCATGGTGGCTCACGCCTGTAATCCCAGCACTTTGGGATGCTGAAGCAGGCAGATCACCTGAGGTGAGGAGTTCAAGACCAGCCTGGCCAACATGGCGAAACCCTGTTTCTACTAAAACTACAAAAATTAGCCGAGTGTGCTGGTGGGTGCCTATAGTCCTAGCTACTCACGAGGCTGAGGCAGGAGGATTGCTTGAACCCATTGAACCCAGGAAGCAGAGGTTGCAGTGAGCTGGGATCCCGCCACTGCACTCCAGCCTGGACAACAGAGTGAGAATCTGTCTCAAAAGAAAAAGAGTAGCTGTAATCAAAGCATGGATACAATCTAAATACAAATTTAAAAATGCAAAATTCTAAGGTACAAAATTTTAAAACATTAACATAATATAAACAGTTGTGATTTTTTTTTTTGGCTGTGTGTATGTCTAGATAACATTCGCCAATTTTCATTGATAATGGCTTTGTAACACTGCATTTATTTTTAGACTTAATTTCCTCTCATTTTAATTTTTTTACTACTACAAAAGATATGTCCCTTTTTTTTTTTTTTAAACTTTGTGCTGTTCCGTTAGGATAAATTTCCGCAATGTGATCACTATCCTTTCTTCTGTTTTGTTACAGTGCTAGGATTTCATGGGCCTCAATCTTGGCATGGCAAAAGGATAAAGTATAAAGACTGAGCCAGGGCTGCTTTAAAGTTGTCTTAGATGGTGATGTTAACGGGCTTAATAGCATATTACCAGTTCAGAAATGAGAGAGGGGAGGGTATAGAATGTTTTCATTGTTCTCTGCTATAAGGTTCCACAAGAATCATTCAAATGGAAACACTTGTCACCTGTAAGAACCCCATTCTCAAGTAGCATTTACTCATCCATTCCATCAGTCCATCAAACAGTTAACATGTATGTATTGCACTACCAGCCACTGTGTTAGTCCCTGGGAATAGGCTTAGGGAAAGACATAGGCTTTGTCCTTACCTTCTTGCAGTGGTGGCATCTTAGCGGCATTGGTCCATAGATTGCTGGCTCTGTTTCAGGGGGCTTTTTGATAATTTTCATGTAAAATTTCCCGCAAAATCTAGTAGATGATCACCCTTTGCCTTTGATATCTGGATCATATCTTGTTAATGCTAAGTTGAAGCTTGAGCAATTGCAGTGATTTTGAATTAGGTTTGGATAGGCAAAGATTCTAAGAGTGTATGTTTGAAAAAGTCTGAAAATTATATTTACTATGATATAAAATATTTGCAATGCTATTATTAATTTTGTACTTCTAGTTATAAGAAGACAGGAAAGCACCAACATGCTGTTGAAAGTGGTCTTGGTGGTAATCCTGTCCCTTGTATTAACTAGAGTAGAAAAGCTAGGTTTTTGCATTTTAAAGGTCTTTAAAGATCAAAGTAAAAAAGTTACAATTTCTTTGAAGATTTTAAAATTTAATAACATTTTACAATTAGCATGAAAAGATGCATAAAGTTTTAATATTTATCCAACAGGGCAAGGGAATATAAAAGATTAAGAAATACAGTGTGGCAAACAAAAACTCTAACCTTATGATGTTACTGTGACGTGTAACATATTTGCTATAGAGCAAAATTTAGCATATGATTTTGGACATGAAGCTTCAAAAGAATCTTAAAAATAAGTCTCTGGCTGGGCCGGGCATGGTGGCTGACGCCTGTAATCCCAGCACTTTGGGAGGCCCAGGCGGGTGTACCACCTGAGGTCTGAAGTTCGAGACCAGCTTGGCCAATGTGGAGAAACCCTGTCTCTACTAAAAATAGAAAATTAGCCAGGCTTGGTGGTGCATGTCTGTAATCCTAGCTACTCAGGAGGCTGAGGCAGGAGAATAGCTTGAACCCAGGAGGCGGAGCTTGTAGCGCGGTGAGATTGCGTCATTGCACTCCAGCCTGGGCAACAAGAGCAAAACTCCATTTCAGAAAAAAAAAGTTTGCTGCAACGAAACTGTGATTTGGACCCTGTGACATTGTAATAATGCAATTCTAGTTAATTGAATCTGTTTTTAACCTGTGTTCAAGTTTTGGAGTGTTAACATTAAGTCATTTAACCCTTTCAAATAAAAATACTGTTGACTTAGTATGTGGTAAGTAAAGTCTTTGTAACTGGGAGGCTGATACACAAATTAGGCTGAAATACTGCTCTACTTGTCACCATGCCTCCCTAGAATAAACTAACTGCCTTTTGATGACCGGGACGAATTGAGTGAAATCGTAACGGACAGATACGGGGCAGACAGTTTTTTTTAAGAATAGTCAGACTCGTAAAGGGAATGGAATTCCTTCCTCCTTATAACTTGGATTTGTTGTCTTTTTTCCTTTTAGCCCTGCCTCTTTCTTGTTGCAGTCAGTTTTGCCATCAGATAGGAACAATGTTACACTACTTGAAAAGGTATATTTTAAAATAATTCTCAATTAATTGTGACCATACTAAATTATAAAATATTATTTATTTTGTTGATACCACAGTTAAATTTAATTTCTGTTTTCACATTTTCTAGTATTTGTACAGTTTGTGCCGTACCGTATCTACTTATACATTTCTTATTGCTAAGTGGGAATACTGGAATTAGTTAATTCTGCCAGTGACATACAATTTCACAATAATATTAACAACCTTTTATAGGTTCATGATAACCAGTGAACTGCTAATGAAGAAAGCTTGAAGATCAGCCGTGATCATTAAGGGTTTAACATTACATATCTGTCTTCTTCAGGACACAAAGATGAGAACTCCCAAAGAAAAAAACGAAGCAATTTCTAAGAAGACACCAGAATTTGAAGTGGAAAATTCTCCATTATCAGCTATTGCAAAGAATACAGAGAGTAGTGCATTTGGAGGTTCTCTGCCAACTAAAATAAGTGATTCATTTAAAAAAGAGCAAGATCATCTGGTAGAAGAGGTGAGAAAAGACTATAATGAATATACTTAAATATCAGTTATTGGATGGGCACACTGCCTCATGCCTGTAATCCCAACACTTGGGGATTACAGTTAATTATTGATTACCTGGAGTAATATGGGATAAAGAAGGCTATAGATCATAAAAATTATGGTTAAAGCAAAATTAATGTGGTACAAATTGTAGTAGGGAGGCAGAGGCTGGGGGAGGCTGTGGCAAGAGGAAAACTTGAGCCCAGAAGTTCGAGACCAGCATGGGCAACATGGCAAAACTCATCTCTACAAAAAAAAAAAAAAGTTGAGCAATATGGCGCCTCTGAAGTCCCAGCTATTTACTGGTGAGGCTGAGGTGGAGGATCACTTAAGCCCAGGAGGTTGAGGCTACAGTTAGCTGTGTTGGCACCACTGCACTCCAGCCTGAGTGACTAACAGAGACCCTCTTTCAAAAAACAAAAACAAGTATTTTCTCAATGGTGTTGATCCTAAGTGAAATACAGTTAATTATTGATTACCTGCAGTAATATGGGGTAAAAGAGGCTATAGATGATAAAAATTATGCTTAAAGCAAAATTGATCTTCCCCAAACCTAGGAATAGATGTAATATAAACTTATTTAGTTAGTATTACATCTGTGGTTTACAACCCACTTTCCATTCTTTAAATATTACCTGGAGGTATACAAATGATACATTTGAGATATTTTGGAGATTAACCATTGCATAGTTAGATAAATGTACCCAGTGTTTATTAAAATACTTTATCACTGTTGTTTGTTGCTTAACTGAGTTTCCTCTTTTTTTGAATATTAGAACACACTGCAGTATCATATCTCTGCGTGCAGGTTTTGTTCCTTTTGTTGTCTAAAATATTTCTGACTTGATTAGATACATTGTTGTTCATGAGCTTGATTTTCCTAACTAGCCCCGTCCCTTAACACTATTCTGCTTTTCACTGGTAAGTGATCACATAATACCACCATTGCTCAGTATTACAGAACTCAGTTTACCCAAATTAAATCCTGAAGTTATTCACTAATATTTTTAGTACATGTTTCCCACAACATGCTTTGCATTGCTTGAATTTGATTAAGCAGCCAGAAAATCAGTGTTAACTTTTTATTCCTGGAGACTGAAAGAAAAATTTGGTTTAGTGGATATTAATTCAGGTATTGGAGTCCCCTCCTTTATTGCATTCCTGATCAAACTAAGTGAACATTGTCCAAATAAGAGAACTGGATGTCAGTCATTTTTTCTTTGAAGACAGGGTCTTGTTCTGTCACCCAGGCTGGAGTGCAGTTGTGCAATTATAGCTCACTGTAAACTTGTACTCATGGGCTCAAGGGCTCCTTCCTCCTCAGCCTGTCAGACAGTTACGACTACAGGTGTGCACCACTTTGCCTGGCTGTTTTTTGTTTTTTGTAGAGTTGGAGACTCACTTTTTTGCCCAGACTGGTCTTGAACCCTGAGCCTGAAGTGATCCTCTAGCCTCGTCCTCCCAAAGTGCTGGGATTATAGGCATGAGCCACCATGCCTGACTGGATGTCAGTCGTTTTTCTTCTTTGTAATATGAGGTCTAGTTTCATGGTCCCTAAGTACTTTTAAATCTCTAAAATGTACTAAGTCCTTTTAAATCTCTAAACAATATTCTGTTGTTTCTTTTCATTGACTCTACACTAAAGAAAAGTCAGTCTTTTTTACTTTCCTAATTTTGAAAGGAAAAACACATCTTCTGGTTAAAATAATTTATATCAGCAATGGGATCAGATAGACGAGGAAAGTCTTAAAATCTCATGAAGCTCTGAAAGTAAAATGAAATTAATTTTCTTTAAGAGTGTTTATGACAGGTGATATTCAGTATTTGAATTCCCAGAAGCACTCTGTTTTTGTGAGGGAGAAGCCCTTTATTTTCTTGGGCCAATTATGGCTTCAAGAAGTTTACTTTTTAGTGATGTCAGGGGGCAGAGTTTTTAATTTGCATGTTTTTTTTTTCTTTTTCAGTTTTATTGATGGTTAACAGAGAGCACTATTATGATATTACATACTTTTCTATGTTTTAGAATGTATCTCTGCTTCTTTCATTAATTTAGATCTGTTAATGAAGTTTCTGGCAAGGAGGTATGTTGTCAGAATGATTTTGTTTCTTAATAGAGGTGTTATTGTGCAAATTAATTATAATTGAGAGAAGAGTGCTTCCTTTAAAACTAGTCATTTTAGTGAATACAGAGCTGTCAAGCTAAAAGTTGTGGCAGATAGCAGCCTAGGTCACTGTGCAATTGGAACTGCCCCTAAATCTTCCCAGTGTAAAGATTGTTATCCGGCTGGGCGTGGTGGCTCACGCCTGTAATCCCAGCACTTTGGGAGGCCGAGGCGGGTGGATCACGAGGTCAACAGATCGAGACCATCCTGGTCAACATGGTGAAACCTCGTCTCTACTAAAAATACAAAAAAAATTATCTGGGCATGGTGGCGCGTGCCTGTAATCCCACCTTACTCAGGAGGCTGAGGCAGGAGAATTGCCTGAACCCAGGAGACGGAGGTTGCGGTGAGCCGAGATCACGCCATTGCACTCCAGCCTGGGTAACAAGAGCGAAACTCCGTCTCAAAAAAAAAAAAAAGATTTTTATCTATTCTTTCCTTTATATGGGCTCTCCATTTAAGATGAGGAAACATTTTAGAGTATCACTTCACTTTACAGGATTGTACCTAGATGGTCTATGCAGAGTTGTCTGGGAACTTCTTTGTCGCTTATTTTTGTGCTGTCTGCAAGGGGAGGGGCTGCTGACCATGACGTGCTTATCAGGGGTTTGTTGCATTCTACCAACGGGCTTGGTCATCTTTGCTTTACTTTTTCTTTTCTGTTTTAGGTTGCCAGAGCAGTTTTATCTGATGCACCACAGTTCTCTGAAGGAAAAGAAATAAAATTAGAGGAACTAATTGACTCTCTGGGTTCTAACCCCTTCTTAACAAGGAATCAGATTCCCCGCACTCCAGAAAACTTGAGTAAGTTAATAATGCTTTCTGTAACTCTTTTTTCTTTCTTTTACATTACCACTGTTAGAACCATGGCCTGATAGATCTTTTTAGCTTAGTTGGCAATGACTTTTTTTTTTTTTTTGAGACAGAGTTTTGCTCTGTCACCAGGCGCCGGGCTGGAGTACAGTGTTGCGATCTCGGCTCATTGCAACCTCCGCCTCCAGGGTTCGAGCAATTCTCCTGCCTCAGCCTCCGAAGTAGCTGGGATTATAGGTGCGCGCCACCACGCCCAGCTAATTTTTGTATTTTTAGTAGAGACAGGGTTTCACCATGTTGGCCAGGATGGTCTTGATCTCTTGACCTCATGATCTGCCCGCCTCGGCCTCCCAAAGTGCTGGGATTCCAGGTGTGAGCCACCGGGCCTGGCGGCAATGACTTTTTATTTATGCTGCTGTAAGGCACTTTTATCCACATACTAAGTATGGGCATTCTCACATAACAGTCTTTTAGCAGTATTTTGTGCCTTTAGTGTACTCATTATACAGAGATACAACATTTTGATAATACGCAATTTTGTTTTTGTTGTTTTACTTGGCTTTTATCTAAAAAGATCTTATTTGAGCATTAAAAAAATCTCGGCCGGGTGTGGTGGCTCACGCCTGTAATCCAAGCACTTTGGAGGCCAAGGTGGGCGGATCACCTGAGGTCAGGAGTTCAAGACCAGCCTGACCAACGTGGTGAAACCCCGTCTTAAAAAAAAAAAAAAAAATCTTGCCTCCAGGTCTGACCTGTTACCCACGTATTTATAGAGTACAGAGGCTATGTTCTTCCAGTTATCAACAAATAGCATCAGCCATAAACCCTCCTAAATGAGTCAAACTGCCCAATACCTTTTTCCCATAACCTGTAATTTGTGTAGGCAAAGCTGTGATATTGGTGTCCTTAGGAGGCACATCATCTTGGTTGTGTAATTAAATAATTTCTGTTTTGCTGTTGATTTAATTTGGTTTGAACTGAGCCACAGCCTAGGTCAGAAACTACAGCTTCTGAACCAAATCGGGCCCCACTTTGTGTGTTTTTGTAAATAAAATTGTATTGAACATAAGCGTATTCATTTGCTGACATTGTTTATGGCTACTTTCATGCTGTCATGGCAGAGTTAAGTAGTTAGACAGAATGGATGGCCTGCAAAGCCTAAAATGTTACTGTCTGGTCCTTACAGAAAATGTTTGCCAAACTGTGGCCTAGATGGACAAGAAAATTTCTTTTTAATACATGCAATTCATATGTGCTATGTAAAAGTTGATGCACATTTCAGGAACATCTGTCTTTATATGTGTTTATTTGTGTGTGATCAGTTGGAGATGGGGTTCTTTGATGGTGGGATTTATTATATCGCGGAGCCTTGTCATTTAACCAGTATATTTATAGAACACATACTGAGTCAGGAGCTTTATCTTCAGCGTTAGAAATAAAATGATTCATTGCATGCTCTGTGTTTGGGAATGTTAGTAAATTGTGTTTTCTCCCCTTTTAATTAGTAAATGAAATTAGGAGTTCATGGAGAAAAGCTATTGAAATAGAAGAAAACAGAACTACAGAACCAATTCAAATGGATACTGAGCATAGAGAAGTATTGCCAGAATCACCGTCTGTGTGGCATGATCAAAGAGAATTTAGCATGGCCGATTTTCTCTTTGACACCACTGTATCAGATTTTGGCCAGTCTCATTCGACTGAAGAGAAAGATGTTTCAGATTGCAAGTGTGTGCCTCAGAAACGTGTCGTGACCAGTCACATAGATGAACCACTAACACAAAATCAGTCAGGTTTGTTAAATAAGAAAGTAATTTGCAAGCAAGATTTGGAATGTATAGCCTTAACCAAGCTTTCAGAAACTAGCCAAATGGAGACACTCTACCCTGCTGTCGGCCACAGGATAGATGTGATGCGTGGCAGTGAAGAGGAGTATACTAAAACGCTGGACCACTTGCAAGCTTCTTGTAACAAGCCTTCCACAAATAAAACTGCCTTGTGGAACTCTTTTCAGATATCAAGTGGAATTAGTTCTGAGAGTTTTAAAGATACTGATTTTGGCATATTACATGAAACTCTTCCGGAAGAAGGTTGTCACCTAAGTTTTAATAGTTCCAGTAGTTCAGAGGCCAATTTTAAACTGGAGCCAAATAGTCCTATGCGTGGTGGCATTCTTCTAGAACATGTTGTGGAAAGGAGACAGACTACTCCAGAATCAGACTTCAATATTCAGGCTCTTTGCAGTAGATATGAGGCTCTAAAGAAATCGCTTTCCAAGAAAAGGGAAGAATCTTACCTCTGGAATCCCCTAACACCTGAAAGACACAAACCAGTATTGAGTCCTACTACCCAAAATGTACAAACAGAGGATATGCTTAACTTTTTGGACCCCCATGATTTGCGTACTGACCATACAAAGCCATCATTACGCATGTCCATTGGTGAAAGAAAACAGTCTCTTTCACCACTAATTAAGTTTTCTCCAGTGGAACAAAGATTGAGGACCACAATATCATGTAGTCTTGGAGAACTACCTAATTTAAAAGGTAAGGTTTAAGTAGACCTATGCATATGCACTTGTTGAAGTTTTCTCTCAACTTTTGATTAATACATAATGAATGCTGCATTACCTTTATTGTTTTTTTTCTTTTCTTTTCTATAGAGTCGGTGTTTCACCATGTTGGCCAGGCAGATCTCGAACTCCTGACCTCAAGTGATCTACCTGCCTCGGCCTCCCAAAGTGCTGGGATTACAGGTGTGAGCCACTGCACCTGGCCAACCTTTATTGTTACTGTGCTCCTCCTTCCTTCATCTAGGATGAAGGGAACAATCCCTTACTGTAAAGGTCCTTTCAGAATCTCTGTTGATGTATATATAGTTACAATTGATTTGGGATGAGGGTGGGGAAAAAAGCCCCCCAACCTGAAGCTACTGGTTTTATAATACAAATGACCGAAAAGGTAAATGTCATCAAAATCTTGTCCAGTGGAAGGTGGTTTTTAGAAAGTTGAGAAACACAATTTTAAATATCATCGTTGTAATGGTGTAATATCTCTTACTTCCTTTGAAATAAATTTGGTGGGAGTGGGGAGTAGAGATAAAAGAAGCCAGGTTAGTACATTAGTTTCCTAGCCTGTCATAACCCAGTATCATAAAGTGGGTGGCTTAGAACAGCAGAAGTTTATTGTCTCTGGAGACGTAAGTCCTACAGGCTAGATGTCCAAAATCAAGGCGTTGAAAGGGCATGTTCCCTCTGAAGCCATTAGAAGAGGATCCTTCTTTTCCTCTTCTAGCCTCTGGTAGCGCCACGCATTCCTTGGCTTGTGGCAGTGTAATTTCTAACCCTTGGCCTCCATTGTCACATGGTATTCTTCCCTTGTGTGTCTATGTGTCTTAGAAGGACACAGTCATATTAGCGAATGGGTCACCCTACTCCAGTATGACCGCTTCTTAGCTAATTATATCTGTAATGACTGTATTTCCAAATAAGGTCACATTCTGAGGTACTGGAGTTAGAACTTCAACATATCTTTTTGGGGGACACAATTCAGTCCTCAACAGTTAGTATTAATAAATATTGAAGCTAGGTGATGGATACATTGAGTTAATCTTACTTTTCTTCACTTTTTGTATGTTTGAACATTTTCCTCTTAAAAGGTTAAAAAAATTGCTCTTGTAGCTCATTAGGACTGATAAGGATCTGGTGATACAGGTTTATTACATATCACTCTGATTTGCCCATAATAGTTATACACTATTACATTGAAAAGTATTTGGCTGGGCACAGTGGCTGATGCCTGTAATACCAGCACTTTGGGAGGCCAAAGATGGGAGGATTGCTTGAACCCAGGAGTTCAAGATCAGCCTTGGCAACACAGGGAGACTGTATCACTACAAAAAATCAAAAGAATCAGCTATGTTGGCGCATGATGTGGTCCCAGGTACTCAGTAGGCTGAGGTGGGAAGATTTCTTGGGCCTGGGAGTTTGAGGCTGCAGTGAGCTGTGATCATGCCACAGCACTCAATCCTGGGTCACAGACCAAGTCCCTATCTCAGGAGAAAAAAAAGTATTCTAGGAGGAATGTATTGATCTTTGGAGAAAGAGGGTACTTTGTTGAGAATAATAGTAATTTTATCATAATTGAGTGTTTGCTACTGCTTGGAATCTGGCCTGTTTATTTTCTTTGTAATATTTGCTTATACTTTACATTTTTTCTTTTTTAAATCACTTTGCAGAAGAAGACATTTTGAATAAGTGCCTTGATGCAAAAGAACCTCCATCTGACTTGACAAGTTGAAGACATACCTATTTAATATGACTATGATGCACTTAAATGGAAGCTATGCCACGGGATAGAAACTGATTTATAACTTAAAGACATGTTGGAAGTGTAGCAGTGTTTTTCAAGGTTTAAAAAAAATTCCAAATGCCTTTTAGCCTTCTTTAATATTTTTAGGTAAGGAAAGTATGTTTGGATTTTTTCTTTTTGTAGGTGTATGAGATTGAAATGTGAAGTATTTGGAAAGCAAATGTCAAGCAATGGGAAGTCATTTTGATTTCTTGAGTAATCTCGTAAGCATTATGCATAAATGATAACATACTAGTGTAATTCTTATAACTTAAGTCAGTTAATATAAGGATGAGTAGTTTTTGTTGTATGTTCACTGAGTAGTTAGTAGCCATTGAATATACTAATCTTTTACTGTTTCTTTGTGGAACATTCTGGCTAACCAGAAAAAAGTGAGAAAAGTAGTGCCTTGGGATGTGTAGTCAAGATGACAAATTTTAAGACTGGAAAAGCTCTAAACAGGCTTCATGATTATTGAAGTGGAATGATCCCAAGTAGTGATGTTTAGTAGAATAAAGTGCACGTGATTATTAAGTGAAGACTGGGGCGGAATGATTTTAAAAAAGGAAAAAGATGGAAGAAGATGAGTAGACACTTGCAAGGAACACTGTCAAACTATAAATCCATCCAGTGGGTTGTATAACATTTATGTTTAGTCTAATTTAGACTTCAATAATTTAATCCTAGTTTAATATTTTAACAAAAAATATAAATTAAAATTTTCATTAGTCCGTTTTATTGTTGTTGGGTTTTTTTGAGGTACCCCCTGTTGGGGGAGAGGAACAAGGAACAATCATCAAAATTCCTCAGTCCCTACAGAATAGCCTCACAAGAACTTGAGAAAACGGAACTTGGAGTTAAATACCTTGTCACGCTGGTACAGTCTCCTACCTCATTACTTCAGATGCCTTGCCCGGAAAAAGACTTGTGTCTAGCATCTAAGTGAACACATACTGTCGCCCTCTGTAAACCAGGAGGAATGGATCAGGCACTGGAAGGGTGATCTTACCTACAGTGCCCTTCGTAGACCCCATCTCACAACCATCAAAATCTTGTCCACACTAGCCCCCAAGGAACTGGCAAGGAGAGAAGGTGGAGGGGAAATTTATGGAAGTAGGTGGCTTAACAGTCATCTTTCTTCACTTATCTTGGGCTACCTGTCTCTAAGTTGTCCCGTCCCAGTGTGAAGACTCATCTTTTTGTGAGAAAAGACAGAAGAAAGCACTTGTAACTGCCTTCTTTGTAATGGAAAAGGAGGAAGAAAAAGCTTCATGAACTAAGTTGTGTCTTTTATTAATACAACAAATCAGGGACTCTGCAGGTCTCTGGGGAAACTATTCTTTAGTTTGCTTTAAGAAAACTGAGGATCTGAAAATCTTAGCATGTAAGGCTGTCTTAACAGCATCTGCAGAAGTGCGATGGCCATTGCTAGACACTTAATGTGCATGATTTCACTTAATTATATTTTAAATATGCTTCCCTGGTAATTCTTAAGCTCAACAAAGAGTGAGAACTGCTGCTAGGAAATAGAGATTCACATTTAACCCTGTGGTACTTTTAAGAAGCAGGTACATAGTTGCATATATGCTTCGGTAGAGATTGTTAGCCATCAGTAGGGAAGCTCAATTTCGCCAGTCAAGTCTGAGAAGCCCCTAATTACTGAGAATCAAAAGAGCAGAATGTCTGTAGACATTTTAGATTTGTTTTAAAAAAAATGTTAAGTGTGTTATACCTGTGATAGGCTGAAAGTTTTTGACATTCTTTCCTGTTCTTCATGTGCCAGTACCATAAACAAAAATTATCTCACATGTATCACTTTCTTCTCCTAAACCACTGTGATTGCAGCTTTTTGCCTTCAGCCTTTTCCCTGTGCAGTATCTCCTGCATAGTTGCCTTGTGATCTTAAGGAACTGTTTTGATTGGGTCACTTCCTTGCTTAAAATTCCATTAATGGTTCATTGTTAATTCTAGAATTGAGTCCAAATTTAAAGACATGTAAGATCCCTATAATGAATTTTGTCTATTCCCCCTTCCACTGTAATCTCCCATTTTTTAACTGAACTGCTTTAGTGAGCATGGGTCTTTAGAAACCTTGATTTACAATTCTCCTGGGGCAGGAATACCTTGCCTTCCTCTCCTGGCTTACCACAATTACAACTCTGATTTCGGTCTCAGAACAAATCTGACTTCCACCTTGAAGTCTTAATCTATGCTTTTTATATCCATGTGCCTCCTCCTCCTCTGAAATCTTCTATGATTTGTCTTTTTATTCATTTAATATTCCACTACTTTTACTATTTTTTTTTTATGGTTGCATGTGGTCTCTCTAGTTATAGCAGTGCATACATAAATACATATACACCTATGTAAATGTGTGTTGGGTATATGCATTCACACACATACATATACCCCAAGGGCCATGTGTCATCTTTAGCAATATTTAAGTATTGGAATTGTTTTGTTTGCTTCCTATATCATGGAATAAATGGTAAAGAGGGCTAAGTTATTGCTGTAAGTGTATTTCTCATTACATTAACATTAGACATTATATAGAACGCATTTCATTTTATTCACTATTTGTAAGATACAAAGGTGTATAAACTGACTTCTACATCAGCTTGAAAACCTGAGATAATGCTAAAATGTTTTAGTTATTTTAAGTGTTTAAAGAGGGAAGTGTATAATATTGCTAAACATGAAAAATGTTATCAAGTAGAATAAAAAATAGTTGAAGTTAACATTTGGGGAAAATTTAACAAAACAAAAATACAAGTATTTTGAAACCTTTTCTTTACTGTAAGTCTCTTGACTTTGAAGTCAAATTTATCTAAAGGAAAAACGGGAATTCTGGAGACCTGTATGAAAGCTATTATTTTCCTACTCTTGAATGTACTAAAGTAAATGTTTCTTTTGTATTATGTTGCAGATACATAGTTACTCTGGAAGTGACTTTTTCCTTATGCACTGTGAATAGCAACTCTGCATCCTATCTTTAAAATATTTGAGAATCCTCTATAGGGCTCTTATGTTTTAAATACTGTTGTTTTCAATAAATATTTTATATTATCTGGCTCTGGAATTTCCTATATATCAAAAAGAACTATGTCCCTGCAAACTGTAGGATGATGACATATAAAGGTATATTAATAACCTCATCTACAAAATAAATTTGAGAGGTTCAGCGATTCAGGTAAACATTTTGTTATTGCCATTTTAATTACTAGATTTACTGTACATAGTATTTTAAAATGATTTTTAAAAGTATACCTATAGCATCAGTTTTCTCATCTGGAGTCTTTATACTAATTTACTGCCAATGACCCTAATTAAGTAATATTTATAAATTAACACCTGAATAGCTTCTTACTCTTCATGAGTGGTGTCATCCACGTCTGCTGCTAGAAAGGGTTTAATACATATTAAATAATTTTATAAAGCCTTAGAAATTCTAAAGCCCTATCACTTACATTTATTGCCTATACAAAGATAGCACCTAGGGTGTAAAATGAGAGGCTTAGAGTTGATCACAGGTCTCTTGGCTCTAAAGTACTTAGATTTCTTTTCCATCTATAAGGCAACTATTGCTGGAACTGGAATGGGACACTTCAGATATGTTTTCCGATTTTACTACACCACATTGCCAATCTAAATTAGGAACCTCAGAATCCTTCCTCAAAAGTAGGTGATCTAAGAATCTGGTTCAGTATTATCCAATTTCCAGATGAATACAAATGGGAAAGTGATCTTGCCCCAAATAAGTGAAACTCTTCCTTGAGGGAGGTTGCTTAGCTTCCTGGGCTTCGGCTTACTCAGTGTGTAAATTTGGAATTATATGAAGGAATAATGTATATCTAAAAAGCTGGGACCCATCACCAGTGCTGGTCTGTGCATGCAAGTTATAACAACAATAACAAAATGGCCAGGTGAGGTGGCTCATGCCTGTAATTCCAGCACTTTGGTAGGCCGACGCAGGCAGATCACTTGAGGTCAGTAGTTTGAGACCAGCCTGACCAGCATGGTGAAACCCGTCTCTACTAAAAATACAAAAATTAGCTGGGCATGTAGTCCCAGCTACTTGGGAGGCTGAGGCAAGAGAATGGCTTGAACTTGGGAGGCAAAGGTTGCTGTTAGCCTAGATCATGCCATTGCACTCCAATCCAGCCTGGGCAACAGAGGGAGACTCCATCTCAAAATAAATAAATAAAAAGCTAGGACTCTTATGGTTAACTTTTCAGTGCAAGTAATGGGGTGTAATGATTAGGAGAGTCAGTAGTCAGATTGCCTGGGTTTAGCTGTATGACCTTAATAAGGTCATAGCAGTTTGCTTATCTGTTAAAATAGAAAGTAACCTACCACATAGGTTGTGAGGATTCAGCAAGATAAATGCACACGTGCTTAAGAACACCTGTCATTGCCGGGCACAGTGGCTCACACCTGTAATGCCAGCACTTTGGGAGGCTGAGGTGGGCAGATCACCTGAGGTTGGGAGTTGGAAACCAGCCTGATCAACATGGAGAAATCCCATCTCTACTGAAAATACAAAATTAGCTGACCGTGTTGGCAAAACACCTGACATTTAGTAAGGGACTAAATATTCAAATAAGTTTCACATCAGTAATTTGGGGAAGAATGGCTCAGTAGGTGGTAATGGTAGTTAACACATAGAGTGAGTACGCCCTAGGCACCATTCCTAAATACTTTTCATGTTGAATTTAATCCTTTTAACAATCTATCAAGTGTTTTTTGTTGTTTTTAAGATAGGCTCTTGCATTGTCAACCAAACTGGAGGGCAATGACACTGAATTATGCCTCAATGCAGCCTCTCCCTCCTGGACTCAAGCAATCCTCCTTCCTCGGCTTCCCAAGTAGCTAGGACTGTAGGCAAGCACCACTATGCCCAGCTAATAAAAAAAAAATTTTTTTGTGTGTGTGGAGACAGGGTCTCACTATCTTGGCCAGGCTGGTCTTGAACCCCTGGTCTCAGGTGAATCCTCCCAACTCAGCTTCCCAAAGTGCTGGAATTACAGGCGTGAGCCACCTTGCCTGGCTATGAAGCAGTATTCTGAGCCACATTTTACAATAAGGATACAAGTGTAGTGAAATTAAGTATTCTGCCCATGTTCAGAGAGCTAGTAAGTGAATACTGACTCAGGTGTCTAGCTTGAGTACACAGCATAAGTACTTCTACAGCTGTTACCAAACATCGCTAAAGTGCTGGGGGCTAAACTCACAAAATCAAATATGCCACTTAATCAGTACTTGTGGGCAGTCAGAATCTAGATTTACATATTAAGCACTTTAAAGTTATTTCAAATAAGACCATGTTTTAAATTGCTAACACGTTTATTCATGAATGAAGCCAAGAAGAATTTATAAATGCATTTTAATACCTTGCTGATAAAATAGTAACATTCCATCTTTGCAATCTGATACGGAATACAGGAAGATACTGGTAAAGGCTTTGATGTGCATATCTATTATAACCAGGTAATCAGAACACGCACGAACCACCTACTTTAGTGTTACACCATACCATCTTCTCAGAAGAGCCAGCTTCAAGCTCTACTGGATAGCTGAGTAAGTAGCGTCCAAGGTTTAAAGACTGGAGAGCAGGGGAGAAAGATGAAAGGAGAAAGCAGCACACACTTCAAAGCCCACTTTTAAGCACACAACATTATGAATATTAAAAATAAAGGATGCAAACAAAAAAGGCAACTCAGCATTTTCAGAAAGAGCATTTGGGACTATTCAACGCATGAGGAGACTGTGCTTGGGGCCATCCACTCTCTCCAGCTTCTCAAAGTGTTTCCTGGCATTGCGAATGTTGATCAGGGTGGCCGCAGAAGGGATCGACGGATCTGACATGACCACCATCACGTACGTGTTTGAGGTGAAGATGTCGATGAAAGCCGCGAAGTTGGAATTCCTAACTTCCATGCTCTGAAAGGAAGCGGCCAATTTACTGCAGCTCAGCTTGAACTGCTTGATGATGTTGCTGATCTTCTCAAACCGGTGGACGTCGCGCTGCTCTTTGCACTGGTAGTGGGAAATAACCAAGAACGTAGCTCTTTCGAACAGCAGAACTTCATCGGCCTCGATGATTTGGGCAAAATTCCTGAGGTTCATCTCCAGCTGCTGAACGTTGGGAATCAGCTGGTAGACGATGCTGGACCAGGCTTTGTAGAGCGTCTCATCCCAGATGGACGTTCGAAAACAAGCACACTCCAGCGGGCGAGACAGACGCCTCAGGTCTTCCTCTCGCTCTTTAAAAATCAGGTCGCGCTGATCCTCCTGAACCAGATCCATTTTGTGCACCAGGCAGAAGATTTTGGCGTCAGGAGAGTTCTGGAGGATGGCCTCCAGACATGACTGGTAATAATGCATATCCTTCTCCAGTTCACGGCTCTCCACGTCAAACACGTAAATCAAAACCTCTACGTTACGGAAGATGTTGTCTCGCTGGCTGGTGAAGTAATTTTCCATGAAGGTGTCCTGACCGCCACAGTCCCACAGGTTCAGCACCAGGTTCCCCAGGAATCGGACGTGGGAGTGCTCCACGTCAATGGTGGCCCCCAGGCGCCGGGTGTCGCGAGCAATATAATTGGCGAAGATAATCGACCTCATGCTGGTCTTCCCCGACCCGCTCTTCCCCATCAGTAGCACCTTTTTCTTCATGGCTGTATTTGGCATCACCCGCCGGGGCCGCCGCGGACTGGGCCTGAGGGCGCGGCCTACACGCAGCGCCGAGGGAGGGAGAGGGGGCTGCCGGGAGCTCGCAGGCCGGGCCTCGCTGCACTCCGCCCCGCCGCGCAGCTGGGCAGGCAGGAGAGCCGAGAGCGCGAGCTAGGAGCTGGAGAGGCTGCGGCTCGGCTGGTTCTTTCTCAAAGGGGAGCGCCTGCAGCGGTCGGCGGCAAAGGCTCCGGAGATGCGCTTGCCTTCCGGAGAGAGGAGCCGCTTCGTCCTCGCCACCGCCCACTTCCGGCGGCGATCTCGCGAGAGCTCCTGCGCTCAACCGTCCCTGCCGGAGGAGCTTTGAAAAGCTGCTACTTTAATGAAATCCAACTGTGTAGCGCGAGCCCTAAGATGGAAGGGAAGCCCAAGGACTCCGGCGTTTTGTTCTGTTGCAGCTGGTCTTGCGGTTGCTAGGGTTACGTGTATGGTTGGCAGGGGAAAATGCTGCCCTCTCGTGGCCAAAAAAAAGCCTCAGCCACCACCGCCGCCGCAACTGGCTTTAGGAGCGAGGTGTGCTGGGCGGGTTTCTGCAGGAGCAGCCGACAGATGAAGTGGATGGAAAGCCCAGCGGGATCCCAGTCCACTTAGGCCTCCCGGGTTCCCTCACCCAGTGAGTACAAGGGCAGGGCGGATGGAGACTTTGCAGGTGCGGAAAGTGAGACTTAGACAAGTTAAGCGATTGCCCGCTGCTGCTCAGCTAGATGACAGCAAGACCCTCCTGGGAGACATCCTGGCTTCCAGTTGGTGCTTTAAATTCCTTTCTCACATCTGCTTTCCCCGTAATCTCAGACTTTAGAATTTATAATTAGAATTCCAAAGCTCGAGGAAACGATACTATGGAACTCCATGCATTAGTTTCATCCTTACAGTAACCCTGTGAATTAATAACCCTATTTTCAAGTAAGGGAATCAAAGGTTAGAGAGGTTAAGTCACTTAACCAAATTACACAGATACTAAATGATGAAATGGAATTTGGTTTCAGACTGACTGCAGTCCATTTGCCTCACAATAGGCCACACTGTGCCCCTCTAAAGCATAATATGATTCTGCTCTTGATGAGTAGATGAGTGAATCAGTGTCATCCAGTATCATTCATTCAGAATGAATGACAGTCATCAGGATACTGAAGCCTCTATATCTACCTTAAAGCCTCCTTCCTTCCTTTCTTCCTTCCTTCCTCCCTCCCTCCCTTCCTTGGACAAAGTTTCACTCTTGGTGCCTAGGCTGGAGTGCAATGGCACGATCTCAACTCACTGCAACCTCTGCTTCCTGGGTTGAAGCAATTCTCCTGTCTCAGCCTCCCAAGTAGCTGGGATTACAGATGCCTCCCACCATGCTTGGCTAATTTTTGTATTTTTTAGCAGAGATGGGATTTCACCCTGTTGGCCAAGCTGGTCACGAACTCCTGACCTCAGGTAATCCACCCGCCTCGACCTCCCAAAGCGCTGGAATTACAGGTGTGAGCCACCATGCCCAGCCTTCTTTCTTTTCTTTTTTTTAAATTTTTAAATGTATTTTTAGAGACAGTGTCTTTCTCTGTCAACCGGGTTGGAGTGCAGTGGTAAGATCATAGCTCACTGCCGCCTGCACCTCCTCGGCTGAAGGGATCATCCATCACATGCCAGCCTCCTAGGTAGCTAGGACTATAGGCATGTCCTAGCTATGCCTAATTATTATTATTATTATTATTATTATTATTATTATTGTTTTTTGAGATGGAGTTGTTGCCCAGGCTGAAGTGCAATGGCGTGATGTTGGCTCACCACAACCTCTGCCTCCTGGGTTCAAGCAATTTTCTTGCCTTAGCCTCCTGAGTAGCTGGGATTGTAGGCATGTGTCACCATGCCCAGCTAATTTTGTAATTTTAGTAGAGATGGGTTATGTTCATGTTGGTCAGGCTGGTCTCGAACTCCTGACCTCAGGTGAGCTCCCCTCCTCAGCCTCCCAACGTGCTGGGGTTACAGGCTTGAGCCACTGCGCCTGCCTTAATTTTTAAAAATTTTTTGGTAAATCTTTCTTATTTTCTATTTGTCTTTTTGTTCTACTTTCCAGGAGATTTTTCTCATCTTAATTTTCGAACTCTGGAGTTTTGAATTTTAATAATCATATTTTAAATTTCTATAGGCTATTCTAGTAGTTCTTTTTAAAAACATAAAATTATTTTATTGGATTAAATATCTTCTTTTATCTCTCTGACGATAATAGTAGCATTAAAAAAAGTTTTTATCCTCTGTTTAGTCTTGGTTTCTTCCAAGTTTCTTTTGTTTGTATGTTCTTTTGTTTTGATCATTTTCATGTTAGAAACTTTCCTCAGTTGTTCAGTGATTGTTGGTCATCTGCTCTATTTAAAGTTATTTAAAACCTATGGGTAGCAATGAAGACTATCAGGTTCACTGAAATGACTAGGCCATTTCTTTGAAGAAACTCTTGCTGCCTGCCACCTTCAGACCTGTTGTCTTTGGCTGGTTAGATTCTCCCAGGATTCTTCTACTGGGCTTGGGTAAGTATAAGCCTGATAAATAGCATTCTGGTTACTAAATGTTAGAAGAAAGCTAGGTTGCTAATATTCAATTTATAGGCCAACTTAATCCTGTTTACAATATGGTACCCTCGTCCTCAGTGTCTCTGGTGTTCCCCTAGTCCAGAGACCCCCTGTCTTACTCTTTGCAGGGAATAAAAACTGCTAGTCTTCTTAGATGAGAGATGGGCAGTTGCCCAGCTATGTGAAACTGCAAGGGGATCCGTAAGTCTAATTGCATCTTAAACAGCTCCTCAAACAATTTCTCCTTTTATAGTGCAATCTCTGATGCTGCTGATTCTTGCATCATTTGGAGGTTCTGTGGTAAAAATGTTGCTTCTTGGCTTTCCCTACTACTGGCTAAGGATTTAGCTTTCTTGAGTCAGCTAAAGTCAGTTACCATTCTTGCTTGTGCACTGCTGCTTCCAAAAATTTGATTTTATGATCTCTTACTCCCTCCCACCTTTTTTTTTTTGAGACGGAGTTTTGCTCTTATTACCCAGGCTGGAGTGCAATGGCTCAATTTCTGCCCACCACAACATCCGCCTCCTCCTCCCCAGTTTAAGCAGTTCTCCTGACACAGGCTCCTGAGTAGTTGGGATTACAAGCATGCGCCACCACACCCGGGTAATTTTGTATTTTAGTAGAGATTGGGTTTTTCCATGTTGATCAGGTTGGTCTTGAACTCCCAACCTCACGGGATTTGCCTTTGTTGGCCTCACAAAGTGCTGGGGTTACAGGCGTGAGCCACCACACCTGGCCACTTACTTCTCTTCCGTTCTTGCCGTCTCATCCCATTTCTCTCATTTTTGTGAGATTCTGGAGAAAGATAAATGCATGTGTTCAATCTGCCAGCTTATTTGGAAATAGGAGAGAAATTTTAATTTAAAATACTAAAAATGGAATAATAATAATTTGATAGTAATACTGAAAGGGAATTGAAAAGTGTTTTTGTTTATAATTTTTGTGGGTACATAGTAGGTATATATATTTATGAGATACATGAGATACTTTGATACAGGCATGCAATGCATAATAATCACATCATGGTAAATGGGGTATCCATCCCTTCAAGCATTCATCCTTCATGTTGCAAACAATGCAATTATACTCTTTTTTTTTTTGGCCAGGCTGGAGTGTAGTGGCACAATCTCAACTCACTGTAGCCTCTGTCTCCTGAGTTCAAGCGATTCCCCTGCCTCAGCCTTCCAAGTAGCTGGGATTACAGGTGCCCACCACCATGCCTGGCTAATTTTTGTATTTTAGTAGAGACGGGGTTTCACCATGTTGGCCAGGCTGGTCTGGAACTCCTGACCTCAGGTGATCACCCACCTCTGCCTCCCAAAGTACTGGGATTATAGGCGTGAGCTACCATGCCAGGCTCAATTACTCTTTTAGTTATTTTTGAATGTATAATGAAATTATTATTGACTGTAATTACCCTTTTGTGGTATCAATACTATTTTTTTTTTTTTTTTTTTGAGACAGGGTCTTACTCTGTGGTCTAGTCTGGAGTACAGTGTTGTGATCACTGCTCACTGCAGCTTCCACCCTCTGGGCTCAAGCAGTCTTCCCACATCAGTTCCCCCGAGTAACTAGGACTCCTGTTACGCACCACTATGCCTGGCTAATGTTTGTAGAGACAGGGTCCCAGTATGTTGCCCAGATTGGTCTTGAATTCCTGAGCTCAAGCGATCTGCCTGTCTTGGCCTCCCAAAGTGCTGGGATTACAGGTGTGAGCCCACATCTCTGGCCCCTACTAGGTCTTATTTATGCTTTGTAACTATTTTTTGTACCTATTAACCATCCCCATATCCCCCCCAACCCTCCTATGATCCTTCCCAGCCTTTGGTAACCATTCTTCTACTCTGTGTCTATGCGTTCAATGGTTTTAATTTTTAGCTCCTACAAATAAGTGAGAACATGCAAAGTTTATCTTTCTGTGCCTGGCTTATTTCACTTAATTAACACAGTGACCTCCAGTTCCATCCATGTTGTTGCAAATGACAAGATCTCATTCTTTTTAATGGCTGAATAGTGTATATTTACCACATTTTCTTTTTTGGAGGGACAGGATTTTGCTCTGTTGCTCAGGCTGGAGTGTAGTGGTGCAGTCTTGGTTCACTGCAACCTCTGCCTCTCAGGCTCAAGTGATCCTCCCACTTCAGCTTCCTGACCACCAAGCCTGACTAATTTTTGAATTTTTTTGTAGAGACAGAGTTTTGCTATATTTCCCAGACTGGTCTCACACTCCAGGGCTCAAGTGTTCCTCCCACCTTGGCCTCACAAAGTACTGGTATTATAGGCGTCAGCCACTGTACCTGGCCACATTTTCTTTATCCATTTATCTGTTGATGGACACTCAGGTTGATTCCAAATCTTGACTATTGTGACCAATGCTGCAACAAGCATAGGAGTGCAGATATCTCTTTGATATACTGATTCCCTTTCTTTTGGGTATATACACAGCGGTGGGATCGCTGCATTGTATGATAGCTCTATTTTTAGTTTTTTGAGGAACTTCCAAACTGTTCCCATAGTGGTTATACTAATTTACATTCCCGCCAACAGTGTACAGGGGTTCCCTTTCCCCACATCCTCACCAGCATTTGTTATTACCTATCATTTGGATAAAAGCCATTTTAACTGGGGTGACAGATTTTTTATTGTTGTTTTGACTTGCATTTATCTGATGATCAATGATTTTGAGCACCATTTTATATGCCTGTTTGCCATTTGTATGTCTTCTTTTGAGAAATGTCTATTCAGATCTTTTGCCCATTAAAAAATTTAGATTAGATTTTTTTCCATAGAGTTGTTTAAGCTTCTTATATATTCTAATTAATTTTTTTATCAGATGGGTAGTTTGCAAATAGTATATCCCATTCGGTGGGTTGTCTCTTTGATTTGTGGATTGTTTCTATTACTGTGCAGAAGCTTTTTTCTTTTTTTTTGAGACGGGGTTTCGCTCTCGTTACCCAGGCTGGAGTGCAATGGCGCGATCTCGGCTCACCGCAACCTCCAACTCCTGAGTTCAGGCAATTCTCCTGCCTCAGCCTCCTGAGTAGCTGGGATTACAGGCACGCGCCGCCATGCCCAGCTAATTTTTTGTAATTTTAGTAGAGACGGGGTTTCACCGTGTTGACCAGGATGGTCTCGATCTCTCGACCTTGTGATCCACCCGCCTCGGCCTCCCAAAGTACTGGGATTACAGGCTTGAGCCACCGCGCCCGGCCCTGTGCAGAAGCTTTTTAACTTGATGTATGCCATGTGTCCATTTTTGCTTTGGTTTCTTGTGCTTGTGGATATTACTCAAGAAGTTTTTGTCCAGACCAGTGTTCTGGAGAGTTTCCCCAGTGTTTTCTTGTAATAGTTTCATGGTTTCAGGTCTTAGATATAAGTCTTCAATCCATTTTGACTTCATTTTTGTATATGGTAAGAGACAGGGGTCTAGTTTCCTTCTTCTGCATATGGATATTCAGTTTTTCTGGCACTATTTATTGAAGAGACTGTTTTTTCCCCATGCATGTTCTTGGCACCTGTGCTGAAAATGAGTTAGCTGTAGATGTATGGATTTGTTTCTGCATTTTCTTTTCTGTTCCATTGGTCTATATGTCTGTGTTTATGCCAGTACCATGCTGTTTTGGTTACTATAACTCTGTAGTATAATCAGAGTTCAGGTAATGTGATTCCTCCAATTTTGTTCTTTTTGCTCAGGATAGCTTTTGGCTATTCTGGATCTTTTTTGGTTTCATATACATTTTAGGATTGTTTTTTCTATTTCTGTGCAGAATGTTATTGGTACTTTCATAAGGATTTCATTGAATCCGTAGATTGCTTTGGGTAGCATGGACACAAAATTGATTTTTCCAATTTATGTACATAGAGTATTTTTCCATTTTTTGTGTCCTCTTCAATTTATTTCATCAGTGTTTTATAGTTTTCATTGTAGAGCTCTTTTGCTTCCCTGGTTAATTCCTAGGTATTTAATTTTATTTGTGTCTATCATAATTGGGATTACTTTTTACATTTTTTTTTCAGATTGCTTGCTGTCGGCATGTAGAAGTGCTCCTGATTTTTGTATGTTGATTTTGTATCCTGCAATGTTACTGAATTTGTTGATCAATTCTAATAGTTTTTTGGTGGAGCCTTTAGGTTTTTCCAAATATAATATCATATCATCTGCAAACAAGGATAATTTGACTTCTTTTTTCCAGTTTGGATGCCCTTTATTCTGAAAGGGAATTTTTGCAAGAGGTTTTTTTTTTTTTTTTTAAATGCTTTATTGAGGTATAATTTTAATTCTGTAAAATTCATTTATTGTATGTAAGTATATAGTTCTGTCACTGCCACTCAATTTTACAGTATTCTACCATCCCCAAAAGTTCCCTTGTCCCTGTTTGCATTTGATCTCTGCTCCTACCCTGAGACCCAGCCAACTGCTTGTCCTCTTTCTGTCTGTAGAGATTTACCTTCTTGAGAAACTTCATATAAGTGAAATCATGCAATATATACTTTTATGACCTCTTTCTTTCTCTCTCTTTTTTCTTTTATTCTTTTTTTTGGAGACAGAATCTCACTTTGTTGCCCAGGCTGGAGTGCAGTGACACCATCTTGGCTCACTGCAACCTCTGCCTCCAGGGTTCAAGTGATTCTCCTGCCTCAGCTTCCCAAGTAGCTAGGATTACAGGTGTGTGCCACTATGCTTGGTTAATTTATTGTATTTTCAGTAGAGATGGGGTTTTGTCACATTGGCCAGGCTGGTCTTGAACTCCTGGCCTCAAGTGATCCACCCGCGTCGGCCTCCCAGAGCCACTGCACTCAGCACTTTTTCTTTTTAAAAACATTTTCTGCCAGGCATGGTGGCTCATGCCTGTAATCCCAGCACTTTGGAAAGCCGAGGTGGGCAGATCACCTGAGGTTGGGAGTTCGAGGCCAGCCTGATCAACATGGAGAAACCTCATCTCTACTAAAAATACAAAAAGTAGCCAGGTGTGGTAGGGCATGCCTGTAATCCCAGCTACTCAGGAAGCGGAGGCAGGAGATTTGCTTGAACCTGGGGGGCGGAGGTTCCAGTGAGCCATGATCATGGCATTGCACTCCAGCCTGGGCAACAAGAGTAATAAATCATTCCAATTATACATAAAAGCACCTACAATTTTTTTTAAATAAAAGATTCACAGTACACTGCACTTTGGAACATGTAACATTTAAAAAGTGAAGTCCCAGACCTGTATCTCTCTCAAAGACATAAAACATGATGGAGCCAACCAACTACTCTTCTCATCTAGGTTCTTAAAATGTAGCACTCAACAGAAGTAAATTATTGTGGCTGGGCACGGTGGCTCACGCCTGTAATCCCAGCACTTTGGGAGGCTGAGGCGGGCGGATCATGACGTCAGGAGTTCAAGACCAGCCTGACCAATATGGTGAAACCTGGCCTGTACTAAAAATACAAAAATTAGCCAGGCATGGTGGTGCATGCCTGTAGCCCCAGCTACTCGGGAGGCTGAGGCAGGAGAACTGCATAAACCCAGGAGGCGGAGGTTGCAGTGAGCTAAGATTGTGTCACTGCATTCCAGCCTGGGTGACCAACCTCCACCTCAAAAAAAAAAAAAAAAAAAAAAAAAAAAGTATTGCATATCCAGCAACTTCTTTATCACTTGATTTCTTCAAACCATACTAAAATTTCTCAAAGGAGAAATCCAGTTCTCTAAGCATGGCCTTTCTTTTTCTTTTTTATTTTTTTTATAATTCAGACTCCTTAGAGACTGCCCAAAATTGCCAATGCCGACTATATTTTGAGTCATGATGGTGGGGTATTGGGAAAAGTTTTCAATGAGCAATAATCGTGCCTCAAATAAACCTCATTGGCTATGATACTGCCACTGTGCAAAGCTAGCATGGCCTTTCTCAAGGTAGCCCGAACACTGAGAAGGTAATACCCGGGCTGGAGGGACTAAGTACAGTAGATGTACACTGAACAGGTACATCCAACTTAAACATTTTCTGCATAGCTAAATCACATCATACACATAAACTTTAACTCACATCTTTTAACATTTTTTTAACCTCGAACTTTGAGGAGAGCTAAAAGCCTGAAGTTATCATAATCACATCCCAACAATACCCTTATTTTGTTCCACAGTGCATTAAATAAAACAGCGCAACAGCAATAATGTTTAACCATAGTTGGTTTTTCAATATTAAAACCACATTGTATTCTTGGGATAAGCTCTTCTTGGTCATGGTATTTAATCCTTTTTATATGTTGCTGGTTTTAGTTTGCTAATATTTTCTTTTCTTTTGAGGCAGGGTCTCACTCTGTCACCCAGGCTGGAGTGCAGTGGTGTGATCTCACCACTTTAAACAATGTTCCATAAAGAGTAGCTTTTCAGATGGTGTACAGCAATAAGTTTGGGGTAAGGCTATAGAAGAAAAATTGTGCAGCACCACTGAGTATTAATTTTACTACAGAAATTTTAGGGAAAATATTAAACAAAGATGTCCATATTAAGAAGCAAATGAAAACTTTAAGAAAAAGTACTGTTTGTAATGGTCTCAAAGATATTCAACTTACCCATTTTATTTTTATTTTTATTTTTTTGAAGGCTGTGCCTCACCCTGCTGCTCTCTCACATATGCTGGGCTGGCCACACATATGCAGCCATTTATTCTTATTCTTTGTCCTTTCCTTGGATCGAAAAGTTTGAGATCATTGTGAGTCTGAATCCCAGATCTAGTACTCATTAGCTGTGTGATCTTGAGGGAGTTTACTTCCCAACTTCAGTGTTCTGATTTGTAATATGGGCATGATAGACTTACGTCAGCTGTAAGAAATAGATGAGAGAACTTACAGAAAAGTGCCCAGAAAGGTTTGCTGTAACTCGACAGCAAGTTATAGTAAATAGTTCCTAGGGGAGGAAATTTTGAAACCAGGGTTAGGGAGGTTTAGATGGTGTATTAGTTTTCACACTGCTGATACAGACATACCTGAGACTTGGAAGAAAAAGAGGTTTAATTGGACTTACAGTTCCACATGGCTGGGGAAGCCTCAGAATCATGGTGGGAGGTGAAAGGCACTTCTTACATGGCTGTGGCAAGAGAAAAAAATGAAGATGCAAAAGCAGAAAACCCTGATAAAACCATCAGATCTCATGAGACTTACTACCATGAAAACAGTGTGGGGGAAACTGCCCCCATGACTCAAGTTATCACCCACCAGGTCACTCCTGCAACATGTGGGAATTATGGGAGTACCATTCAAGATGAGATTTGGGTGGGGACACAGAGCCAAATCATATCATTTCACCCCTGGTCCCTCTAAATGTCATGTCCTCACATTTCACAACCAGTCATGCCTTCCCAACAGTTCCTCAAAGTCTTAACTCATTACAGCATTAACCCCCCCCAAAAAGTCCGCAATCTCATCTGAGACAAGGCAAGTCCCTTCCATCTATGAGCCTGTAAAATCAAAAGCAAGCTATTACTTCCTAGATACAATGGTGGTATAGGTATTGGGTAAATACAGCCACTCTGAATGGGCGAACTTGGCCAAAACAAAGGGGTTACAGGCCCCATGCAAGTCTGAAATCCAGTGGGGAAGTCAAATCTTAAAGCTCCAAAATGATCTCCTTTGACTCCATGTCTCACATCCAGGTCATGCTGAAGCAAGAGGTGGGTTCCCATGTCTTGGAAAGCTCTGCCCCTGTGGCTTTGCAGTGTACAGCCTCCTTCCCAAATGCTTTCACGGGCTGGCATTGAGTGTCTGCAGCTTTTCCAGGCACCCAGTGCAAGCTGTCCATGGATCTACCATTTTGGGGTCTGGAGGATGGTGGCCCTCTTCTCACAGCTCCACTAGTCAGTGCCCCAGTAAGGACTCCGTGTGGGAACTTCAACTTCACATTTCCCTCTGAACTGCCCTAACAGAAGTTTTCCATGAGCATTGCACCCCTGCAGCACACTTCTGCCTGGATATCCAGGGGTTTCCATACATCCTGTGAAATCTAGGTGGAGATTCCCAAACCACAATTCTTCTGTGCACTCACAGGGGCTTGCATCCTCTGAAGCCATGGCCCAAGGTCTGTGCTAGTTCCTTTCAGCCATGGCTGGAGTGGCTAGGATGCTGGGCACCAAGTCCCTAGGCTTCACACAGCACAGGGACCCTGGTCCTAGCCCATGAAATCATTTTCTCCTAGGCCTATGGGCCTGTGATAGGAGGGGCTGCTGTGAAGATCTCTGACATACCCAGGAGACACTTTCCCCATTGTCTTGGGGGTTAACATTTGGCTCCTTGTCACTTATGCAAATTTCTGCAGCCAGCTTGAATTTCTGTTTAGAAAATAGGTTTTTCTTTTCTATTGCATTGTCAGGATGCAAATACTCTGAACTTTTATGCTCTGCTTCCCTTATAAAACTGAATGCCTTCAGCAGCACACAGGTCACCTCTTGAATGCTTTGCTGCTTAGAAACCTCTTCTGCCAGATACCCTAAATCATCTCCCTCAGGTTCAAAGTTCCACAAATCTCTAGGGCAGGGGCAAAATGCCACCAGTCTCTTTGCTAAAACATAACAAGAGTCACCTTTGCTCCAGTTCTCAACAAGTTCCTCATCTCCATCTGAGATCACCTCAGCCTGGACTTCATTGTCCATATTGCTATCAGCATTTTGGGCAAAACCATTAAACAAGTCTCTAGGCAGTTCCAAACTTTCTCACATTTTCCTATCTTCTTTGGAGCCCTTCAAACTGTTCCAACGTCTGCCTATTACCCAGTTCCAAAGTTGCTTCCACATTTTTGGGTATCTTTTTAGCAGGGCCCCACTTTACTGGTACCAATTTACTGTATTAGTTCATTTTCATGCTGCTGACAAAGACATATCTGGGACTGGGAAGAAAAAGAGGTTTAATTGGACTTACAGTTCCACATGGCTGGGAAGGCCTCAGAATCATGGCTGGAGGCAAAAGGCTCTTCTTACATGGTGGGTGCAAGAGAAAAAAATGAAGATGAAACCATCAGATCTCATGATCCTTATTCACTACATGAATCAGAACAGTGTGGGGGAAACTGCCCGCATGATTCAAATTATCTCCCACCAGGTTCTTCCCTAACGCATGGGAATTATGGGAATATAATTCAAGATGAGATTTGGGTGGGGACACAGAGCCAAACCATATCAGATGGGTCAGGGTAAGGTTGGTTGGATGTAACAAAAGATGGACAGTAAGTGTGACTAGGTGAGGGTAAGTTGTCCCTTCTTTCTAGCATTGGATCATTGTTGAGGCTATTTTATCCACACCATCTTCATCTTTCAAGATCTTTACCCTCTATTGAGGGCATGGATGGGGGAAGTAGGGAGTACCATGATTGTTGACAAGGTGGCCACCCACAAGGGCATTTGGAATGTCAGGGGGCATGAACAGGCATCCTTATGCTGGAAGATTTATGGATAAGGTTTAGGCAGCCATCAAGAGAAAGCTGATGTCCGGCACTCTGTTTCCTCTGCAAGGGCTGTGTGATGTTCCCTGTCAGTGACGAAGGATGGCGTGCAGACTTTGCTTTGACTTCCAATAGCTCCCACCTCTGTCTTGTTCAGCCAGGTTTCCCTCCTCCTCTTTAGAGTTCTGACCTTCTACTGGGAAGGTAAGGAACAGCTTCCCAGCCCACTGTTCTTAAGAATGATCAATAAGCTTTGCTCCAGTATTAATCTACTTTGTTGACTTTCTAGAGCTGGGGTTGGAACACTTTGTAAAAAGTGAGTATTTTAGCTTTTGTGGGCCAAGAGGCATAATCAGAAGTGTTTATTAAAATTTGTTGAAAAAATTCAAAACTTTATTTACAGACACTGAAATTTGAATTTTAGGTAAGTTTCATGTGTTATGTAATATCATTATTTTAATTTTTTCAACCATTAAAAAAATGTGAAGACCATTCTTAGCTCACTGACCAGAAAGAGTCAGGTTACCAATTTCAGACAATAGTTTGGTGACGTCTATTCTAGAGCCTAATATTGAAGGAAAAAACCCAAAAACAAAAACTGCTCTGAATATTAAGTGTCTTGCAGTCCAAGATGCCTCTGACTGACTCATTCACTAAAATGAATGGAAAGAGTTAGGAAACATGGGAAAGAAAAACAAGCATAAAGATTGGCAATACTTTAAGCTCCCATTTCACGTAAGCAGAAAGTCAAAATGTTTAAGTCCAAACAACTGGCCAGAGCGGTGTCTTTTTAACTTGCTTCATGACCAGAATCACCTGGCTTCTTGTTGCAGCTAGATTCCGGGAGCAGAAGTTTTGATACAGGGGAGATTTCTGGGTGGGGGTATGTGGTGGCTCTTGGGACCAGGTAAGCTGAAGAAACACTATTCCAGAAGGCGCAAAGGAACCTCCAAAGTTGTGATTCTTGAAGTGTGGTCACTGGCCCAGCAGCACCAGCACTGCTTGAGAGCTTGTAAGGAATGCAAGTCCTTGGCCTACCCTAGAAACAGGGAATCAGACACTGTGGGGGTGGGGTCTGTCAATCTGGTTTTCATCAAGCCAGGTGGTCCTGATGCCCACTAGAATTTGAGAACCTCTGTTTCGAGGCATCATTACCAGCACCTGGAGAAGTGATTGAGAACCCACCTGAGCAGTGACGGCCTGGGCGCTCTTAAACCGCTGTGTTCTCAAGAGCGCAGGTCTGTGGGTGAGGAATTCTAGCAGACCTCTGACGCCAAAGGCTTCGGTTTCCGCAGGAAGTTCTGGAAACCTTATTCAAGGTAAGACTTTTGGAAGTCAAGGGCTGCATTCTCCTAAGAGGGGGCACCATGGATCCTAGAGATAGCAAATGCCACCCAAGGTGATGGTGAGGGAGTTTTCAGCTTTTCTGCACGTGTGACCATTTACTGCACCAGGAGCTTTCTAGTAACTTCCACCCTTTTCAGGTTTCTCCAAGGTCCCCTGGGGAACCCCTGTCCTGGGCCTGCCAGTGTGGCACGGGGAGCTTCCTGACCTCACAAGCAGCTCTTGTGATGTAATTGCTCCTGGTACTGGTGACATCACAGAGGCTACCCAGTCCCGGACCCCGGGAATTCCTGGGGCCCAGTCAGCCATTCCAGGTGCGTGAGTCCGGGCTGCGGAGGCCGGGGCAGTGGCGTGCAGGGGAAGGTCGCCCAGGTTGGTGCTCCGTGTAAGCTTCCTGCTGCGCCCTCGTGCTAGGCCAGCTCCAGGAAGAGAACAGACGACTGGACGTCGTTGCAAAAGGGCAACTTAAATTTTCTTTGGAGTAAACACCTGCCAAGGCCCTCGAGCCTGGGCGGGCCCCGAGCCAGGTGGTTGGGGTCCAGGAGTAGGCCGCGGCTGGGAATGCTTTGAGGGGACGTCGGGGCCTCAGGATGGCCCCTGTGAAGACGAAGTGCATCTGCGAACTCTGCTCCTGCGGGTAAGGTGGCCGCGCCCAGCGGGAGGCTGGGGGAGCCTGCGTTTTCAGACTCCCGAGTAAGGGAAGCCTCCCCCGGCTGCTTCATCAGGCGGCCTCACGGTGGGTTCTTCCACTTGTCACGTTGTTGAGGCCACAATGTTGTCAACTAGCGTTGTGCCCGCGGACACAACATCCATTCTGGCGAATGTGGCTGCTTTCGGGCCTTCTGAGTCACTTGAAAGCTGCAGGAGGATTGAAAACGGGCACAGCCCCGTAGTCTCTACTCCCTTCCTGCAGCCCAGAAAGCGTCAGCCCAGGAGGAAGAACCCCTGGCCCCATGGGACCAGACTTGCTCCTTTTATTTTACTTCTTTTGGGAAGGCGATAGGCTGGGAGGAGAATTCCTGTCGTGTAACTGAATTTCTCATTCCGAGAGATTGTTAGTTTGTCAGAGAAGTATAAGGTATTAGTAAAACTTGTTTCCACATTGTGTAGAGTTGAACAAGAATAATGAAAGCATTACTTTCATAATCGCCTGGCCAGGTCTCTCTCACCTTAAAGGACCATGCCTGGGAGAAGCGCGGTAAAGGTGGTCCCAGGGGGAAATCAGGGGCTTTAGCCAGAGTCCCACTGGCTGACTGGTCTGCTGTCTCTCACATGATCTCTTAGATGCTCCTTCTACCTGCTTCCCAGGATAGCTGCGTTTCTGCTCTGCTGGGGAAGGGAAGGGGGCAGCAGAGGAGCAACAGATAGGAGGGCCTGGGCTCAGCTCTCCTGGGCTGTCATTAATAGTGGGATCTTGGATTGGTAACTCCAGGTCATAGTGGCCTCATCTGTACCAACAATACTTACCTCATATGACTATTGTAAGAGTTAAATAAGATCATATATGTGAGTCCTGGTACATGGATTGTGCTTAATATGTTAGTGTCCTGAAATGGGAAATAAGGGCAAATATGACACATGCATATAAAAGGTATCAGTAGTGTGGAGGATTAGGGTTCTCTAAAAATTGGATGAGCAATCTTCTCTATCTAATAGTTCCCAACTCTGGCTGCTCATTAGAATCACACTGGGAGTTTGAAAACTATCAGTTGCCCAGGCCGTTGAATTGATCATCTCAGGGTGGGCCCCGCTAACTGTCTTGAGGTGATTCTGACCATTTGCTAGGACTGGGACTCACTGAACTAGATCATGTACAGATGTGGGTCTTGCTTTTAAGCTTTGTTAAGTGGGGCCAGAACATTGTATAGTCTAGAACGACTCGTTACCGAGCAAAACCTTATTTTCCAAGGCCGCCTTTTTTCTTTTTGGAGACAAAGTCTTGCTCTTTTGCCCAGACTGGAGTGCAGTGGTGTGATCTTGGCTCACTGCAACCTCTGCCTCCTGGGTTCAAGCTATTCTCTTGCCTCAGCCTCCCAAGTACTGGGATTATAAGTGCTCACCACCACACCTAGCTAATTTTTGTGTTTTTAGTAGAGATAGGGGTTCACCACGCTGGCCAGGTTGGTCTTGAACTCCTGACCTCAGGTGATCCGCCCACCTCAGCCTCCCAAAGTGCTGGGATTACAGTGCTGCTCCACACTGAATCTTTTCTAAAGTCTGGGTCCTTCCTTCATTGTAATCTTTTCTTTAATTGGTCCCTTCCCTTTTATTCCCGTTATGACTTTCCTGGTTCTCTCATTTTTATGTTTGGAAACTGGTCCTAAATTACCTTCCTAGTGTTTTTTTTCTCCCATGATTCCCTTACATGAAACCACCCCTTGAATTGGATCAGGCTTCTTGGCATCCCCTGAGTGGACCTACTGATCTCCCCTCTCTGATCCTTATCCTTGCCCTTTCTCTAAAATACCTATGTCCCCTTCTCCTGCTGCTGGACTTGTAAGGCTGTTTCAGTTGCCGGGCTGAACCGGCCCTGTGGCTCCCTATCAAAGAAGAACCCCACTCCCTATGTTCTCATCCTCTAATTATGCATCAGCATGCTTTATATACCCAATTAATTATATATATGCTGGAAAAACAGGTATTTTCTGTTTTGTATGTGTACTGTATTATAGCAACATAATGTTTCTGTGTAACAGCCAACACATATCTTTTTGAATGAATGGATGGCCTTTTTTGTTAAGGTCATAATGGGCTGGACTGGGTTAGGAATGTAAGATTTAGAGCTGTACTATCCAGTATGGTAGCTAGCTGTGGCAATTTCATTTAAATAGATGAAAGTTAAAACTGAAAATTCAGTTCCTCAGCTGCACAAGCCACATTTCAAGTGCTCAGTAGCTGCTTGAGTATTGTCACTCCCACCCTGGCCCATGCAGATACGGAGTGTTTCCATCACTGCAGGAAGTTCTGTTGGACAACACTGATCTTGAGTCTCATTATTTGGAAGTCTTCATCTCTCATACCCCAGTTAAATTCCTCCCACCCCAATTAAATCTGCTCAGTGACTGGTTGAGATGGACTGAGGAATCTTACAGGTGTTGTCTAAGCTAGTGGAAGTCTATTTTTGGCTTTTCCAGTCTGAGGTCATGGGAAAAAGTGATGGGAAGTCTGGAGGACAAGCATGTGTGAAGTTGGAGACAGTGCCCTTGAGTGGGAGGGGGAGATGGGGGTTCCTGAGTGAGTCACTGGATATCTCTGGGCTTTAGTTCCCCCATTTTTAAAGCCTGGATATTTGTGGAAACCTTCAGGGCTACCAGGGAGGGAAAGAGGCACACATTTATTCCCCCTTCTCTCCCATATTCTCTTCTTCCAAAGGTTTTTTTTTTTTTTTTTTGAGCAAATAATTCTGTACTGTTCTTTCAACTTTAACTTTTAAGGGCATTGTACTTGTTGGTGAGGGGACTCTGGGGATGCTCAGGGGCCTGGGTAAGATGGTGTCCATCTGCAGGAGCAGCTGCAGAAGGCTGCTGGGGGAAAGCCACCAATGGGTCTCTCTTTGGCAAGTTCTTGTATTGGCCACAAGATGGCAGACGTTTCCTGACCAATTCTCACTGTGGGTTAAACCAAATCAGCCAAAATGGAAAAGTAAAACCTTTGGAGTTCGGAATTTTATTTTATTTTTAAATAGATTTACTTTACATTTTCTAAAATGAGCGATTAGAGTTTAGGGTGCAGCAGAGCTCAGGAAAGTGGTATGCCTTTTGGAGTAGATGGCAGATTACAAAGTGAAAAGTGTTTAAAATGTCTAAATTTAAAGATTCCAACAACTCAGAAAACTTTTTAATGAGCTTTGCTGGGGGAATAAATAAATAAATAAATAAATTACTGCATCAAGCTTAAGGCTTTGCCTCCACAATAATACTCTACTCCTTTCTTTGATGATCAAAATCTTGCAATTGGAATTACTCCCATAAAATGTTATAATTTATACCTGAATTGAACCTCAGGAAAAGAAAAAGAAAAAAAGTTATAATATTCTCTTTTCAACATAACACCAAATAAGCAAAGTATCTGTGGGTTGTAGAAATACAGTAAGGTTAGCATCTTAAATTTTTTTTGAAACAAATGTACCACTTACCTTGACTTTAGAAGCTACAAGGTGGGAGTGCTTTGAATAGAGTAATCCTACTTTTGTATATGAGAGTGTTGTGTTTCCAGTAGCATCTGATTATCGCTAGCATTTCCTGTTATTGAAAAACTGTGACCCTTGAGAGTTTTAATATATATAATATATATATAATATTTATATATATTTATATATATGTAACATATATATAATTTTTTTTTTTTTTTTTTTTTTTGAGACGGAGTTTCGCTCTTGTTACCCAGGCTGGAGCGCAATGGCGTGATCTTGGCTCACCGCAACCTCCGCCTCCTGGGTTCAGGCAATTCTCCTGCCTCAGCCTCCTGAGTAGCTGGGATTACAGGCATGCGCCACCATGCCCAACTAAGTTTTTGTATTTGTAGTAGAGACGGGGTTTCACCATGTTGACCAGGTGGTCTCAATCTCTTGACCTCATGATCCACCTGCCTTGGCCTCCCAAAGTGCTGGGATTACAGGCGTGAGCCACACGCCCGGCCCTTTTTTTTTTTTTTTTTTTTTTTTTTTTTTTTGAGACAGAGTCTTGCTCTGTCACCCAGGCTGGAGTGCAGTGGCACGATCTTGGCTCTCTGTGACCTCTGCCGCCTGGGTTCAAACGATTCTTCTGCCTTAGTCTCCTGAGTAGCTGGAATTATGGGTGGATGCCACTATGCCGAGCCAATTTTTGTATCTCTTTTTTTTTTTTTTGAGATGGAGTCTCACTGTTGTTACCCAGACTGGAGTGCAATGGCACAATCTCGGCTCACTGCAACCTCCGCCTCCTGGGTTCAAGCAATTCTCCTGCCTCAGCCTCCCGAGTAGCTGGGACTACAGGCGCACACCACCATGCCCAGCTAATTTTTGTATTTTTAGTAGAGATGGGGTTTCACCTTGTTGACCAGGATGGTCTCGATCTCTTGAACTCGTGATCCACCCGCCTCAGCCTCCCAAAGTGCTGGGATTATAGGCGTGAGCCACTGCGTCCGGCCTCAATTTTTGTATCTTTAATAGTGATAGGGTTTCACCATGTTGGTCAAAGCTGGTTTTGACCTCAGGTGATTCACCTGCCTTGGCCTCCCAAAGTGCTGGGACTACAGATGTGAGCCCCTGAACCCAGACCAGAGTTTTGCATTAAATCACCTTCCATCTCTACAGTATTTTGAAAGTTCAAAAAGCATTTTCCCATATATTATTATCTTACTGTGGGTCCC